AAGATGGCTGCCTGTCGGCCATGTTGTTTATCCGATCAGTCTCAAAAGTTGCCCTGCACAGCTTTGGACTAAGGGGAACCTACATATTAAATTTGAGAAAGATCCCTCCGGTACCTCTTGAGATATAGCGATAACAAACTTTCAATATCAAAATCCAAGATGGCTGCCTGTCGGCCATGTTGTTTATCCGATCAGTCTCAAAAGTTGCCCTGCACAGATTAGGACCAAAGGGAACCTACATATAAAATTTGATAAAGATCCCTCTAGTACTTCTTGAGAAATACTGATAACAAGAAATGTTTAAGGACGGACGACGGACCACGGACGCAGGGTGATTTGAATAGCCCACCATCAGATGATGGTGAGCTAAAAATCTAGTTGTACTTTAAACAACTTGAAATATTACAATTTTGATGTGGTTGCTAAAATCTAGTGATCACTTACATCACTTTTGGCATCAAAGGGGCCATCTTTGTGCAGAGACTTGTGGACTAGTTTGAGAACATGTTCCAGTTTTCTAGGTTGTTCTTCTACTTTGGCGGCAAGAAACAGACAAACAGGCGCCATGGACTGAAATGCAAGAAGGCAATTAAAAGATTTTCTCTTGTCCAAATGAAGATTTAATTCAAAAACAGCAGATTCTATATCTCAAATATCCTAGATTTTTTCACTTATCAAGACTACTGTTTATCATATTCACTTAATTATCTTGCACAAACTAAAACTATTGAAATATTTGAAGCGAGCTGTCCACATATTAAAATATGATTAATGAAATTATACAATGCTCAATAATGGTTTCCTCAATCATGATTAATTAATATTTCAATATTACAATTTAATCTTACTACTTCATCAGTCAAAAAACAATTTTCATAACACTTTCTCATATATTTCAACTTTCTTCCAACATAAAATGTAAATGGAACGACATTTTCAAAATTTTCATTGACTTCATCCTATTATTCCTTTACTTTTAGGAAAAGGTCCCAATACGGATTCATCCATTCATCCATCATTTTCCACTGGCTTGTTTTTACCTCAATTAATTTAATAGTTGGCTTTCCAAACCTTTAAGTGCTTGGTACTTGCTGTAGTTTGTATACATGTTTTGTTTGTTTTCAAATTAACCCTCAGACCGACTTTAAGCTAAGGGGTCTACAAATCATTTTACTACCATTTGCGGTCAAGAAAATTTGGCGCCATTCCCTTCAAAATTTTCAAGAAAAAAGGCCACTTACTAAAATATAATAATGACCTTGTTGTCAGCCTTTTAAAAGTTAGGTCCTCCTGGTGTGTTTAAAGCGATACCATTATCTGGCATACAGGAATGCTAGCCAAAAGCTATCTTTAAATTTTTATCTCTGGAGTTTAAACCATATTATTAAAACATACTATTATTGGGGAGAAAGGGGAGTACATTATGTGTTTGATAACACTATCAATGTCTCCTGAATGATATAGTGGTGCTTTGGTGCTTACAGAACTTTACAACGTTAGTTAATGTGCTAAAGGCTTCAAATCTTTAGCATAGCTCATTAAACATTCCAGGCTAGCATATAAAGGAAACAGTACAATTCACTTTGGTAAAAGTGTAGTTGTTAATTCTTGAACCCCTTTTCAGCACAAAGCAACCAACAGGTCAGCCACAATACTTGCAATAACTATCAACAGATACTTTATTTATGAATTAAGATAATCCGTAATATTTGTTGCGATTCCTGCAGCCATTATTTGCATTTGCATGAATGTTTGATCCATTTTCCTGTGCACACTCTTTGAATTAGTCAGCAGCTATTTGAGGTGCATTCTGATTAGGCACTGATCTTTTGGTTTAGGTATCGATAAATTTTGTAGAGAAGTACCAGTATTTGTTTAGGTCTGCTTTGAAGTAGTTAATAGTCCGAGAATCTATTTAACTGGGAAGACTATAGTATTCCAGAAGTCCACAGCTTGACTCCCCAGTTCTGGAATAAGATGCTTCCTTGAATAATTTCTTTTTGCTTTGATTCCCTTTAAGTTGTCAAGGCCTTTGTTTTCTAATTTATATAATCTGCTTAAATAATTTAGGAGGGTATTTTACTTTGATTCAAGAGGTTATGCATGGCATCATCTATCATTATTTGAGGAAAGAATTCCTCAACAGCTTGTAGAAGACAAATAAATGAACTTAAAATTATTTGTCATTTCTTAGCACTCAGTTTGGTCGCAAAAGAGATTGACATGATATAAACCTGGCTTTGTATTTTTATGATGACATCAGCCTTCTTTTATTGCCTTATTTTTGACTGCGATAACCTGGCTTTGTATTTTTTTCATAGCCATAGTATAAGTTCAATATATTCAAACTACATATTCAAGTGACGATTTTTAACCGAGGTCTTTGAATATGACTTGTCAGACGGTTGGAATTTTAGGTGACTACAGCATCTCTGAGGGGGCTTGTTTAAATTTAAAGGCGGACTAAGATAAAACTACAGGCAAAATATCAGTGTATTGACTCAAAGTCATTCAAATGAAACTGTTAAAATATTTAACACATTTAACCCCTGTGGGCCAGGTGAGCTAAAAGCTATATAGCCCTTCATCCAAGCATGTTACTGGTCAGATATCAACATTCTGGGCCTCAACGTTATTCAGAAAATGTTCTTAATGATTTGGTATTAGCTTCATCCATGTTCAGGACATATCCAACGTAATAAAACAAGCCCTATTATGTCTAGCCAAGACCATATGAACCCAGCTTAGGGAACCCCCTCTTGTCCAATCCCCCCCAATCCAACAACCACATTGTGAACCCAGGGTAATTAAACTGCCCCTGGTCACATCTCAACCACAACTTAATAACCGAATCAAATCAGCACGACTTCAGTAATGTTATATGCGATTGACCTTTCTGCACTCACCACTATTCCGGGGTGTGCTTTTCCAGACCCTAAGTTCTAAACAAGTTGGAGATAAGCAAGTCGTAAAATGCAGTTGAGAAATTCTTAATCAAACTAAGGGGCTGGTAGCCAGTTTAGGTAGAAAGGATGCGTTTTCAGTCTTTTAGATTCTGCCACTTTTTCTTCATCTAGCATACGATACACCATCATTAGGGGTCAGTGTGGTAAGTTTACCGAAGTGTTTTTCTAAACCCTTAATCTTAACCATCCAATAATACTCTCTACACATTAAGAGAGGTCCATATATAAAAACATGAAATTTACCTAAGACTTCTGTTTTTTGTTGCTACTTACGTTGCGATGGAACCTGGAGAAGGAATGGAACATGTAGAACCGATGCATGTACACTATGGCTGTGTTGATGCATAGCTGGGTTCTGGCAGAGTTAAGGAATGAACATGCTTTGTTAAAATGTTAATACATCTAGCAGGCCTACAATTTGAAATATCCTTAAATATATGCGATGAAAGTTGTGCAACAGTAAAATATATTGATAAATAACTCTTCACGAGTTTAATAAGGCCTATATTTTGGGCTATTTTCGAATCGACTAAATATATCTTCTCCAGTTTATCAGAACAGATAACTAATTTCGTTGTGTAAAATTGTTTGTACACAATCATATGCATTTTACACGAGTTAATCAACAATGTACAGTTAAGGACTTTGCGTTACAGCTACGGTAATAATGAGCTTACAAACACGTGGTTTTTACTATGAGGAATTTACAATCATTGCGCCGGTATCCATTGACGAAAATTAAGGTCATGTGCAAGGATCACTTGCATTACTACGCATCGGAGAAAACAAATAAATGTATGATAATTCACACTATTTCGGGTTTTATCTCTTTAATTTGTATTACCATTAGGAATAGTTTTCAATTGGCTTTCTTTGAAATTGCTTAATGTGCTTAAAGAACGATTTTTGACAATATAGAACAACAGAATAGAAAATGGTGCGACCAAACCGGTGACGATTCGACCACACCACTTCACTGCCAACTTTCTCCTGAACAGGATACACTATGAGGCTCTGTCCCATTTCCTGGATCAGGTTGGCAGCTTGTTGTCTGTATGCCAGTTCTTTGTCGTTATCTATCCCACATTTTCGGCTGGGGGTATCCAAAAGTTGCGAATTGGTGAAAATCCATCGCTCCCCCGCCATTTACCCAGCACCAAGGAAATACGGCAAGAGCGCATGCTCAAGCTTTAAATTATATCTCGGACGAAGATTTTGCAAGAAGACGATTCGATAAAATAATTTGTGTGCATTAACTCCATTTAAGTTCAATAGTAAAATATCATTTAACTTGAATTGTTAGTCAAAGTAGAAATATTTAACCACAAAAACGGCTAAATTGGAATTTATTTCTGCAATAGTAAAACTTTGAAAAATCGGATATTTTAGCATGCAAGTGTATTTATACAAAATACAGTGACATGTGCGTGTGGAACGGATGTTGGAGGTGGTCCCAAATGTATGTACAATTCAGACAAATTCATCCGCTTTTTCCGTTATATTTTATCCTTATGTGTGCAATTAGTTGTTGTATTTAGTTTGACATTATTATATTATGGAAATTATGTTGCTTTATATCGGAAAAACGTCTGATACGGAACAGCATTTCTTGGAAAAATACACACCTTTTTACTGCCATGTGCCTTTTACGATTGCGCATTCAATGAAAATAGTACGTTTAGTAATCGGATCATTTGGTTATTAAAGGGTTTATTTCGCCTCTTTTATGGATGGGTGTATTTGTAAATATTCCTTTTCTATCGTTATATAGCGCATATTTTTACTTCAATCGTCACTCATTATTCTGTACAATTACATATGCTGTGTTCTAAAAATAGGTTACTCTGGTTCAGTACAGTAGGCAACCTAAAAAAAATAGTCATGAGCAGTAAAAATATAAGTTGCATTTAACTTGCATACATACAAAGTCAATTGACATTAATTTTGCATTTAAACAATTTATAATGAAGATAATGATAATAGAAGGTCATGAATAGGAGTCAATGATAGATAACTGGATACTTCTAATATTAAATCCTAACCAGAGTTTCCTCTGTCCCTGACACCAGACTTACACATTTTGACAGATATATGTCTGGTGTGGGGCCAAAGCGCACTTCTATATGAAAATGTGCAATTGGTGTGGCGGAGAGTTTTGAGGTGCTGACAACAAAAATTGACCATGACACAACACATCACAATATACCGATAAATGGATTATTATATGNTAATGCCTTTTAATTGTATTTATTCTCATTGAAAAATTGGAATTCTTGCCAGGGACACCCCTATTTTTGCATGTAACATATTTATAAATGTTCATAAATATTTATTTTTTTACAAAATGCATTTTTAATTAATGCTAAAATATAGTTTTTTGTCTATATTTATTAAAAAAATCAAAACAATGTACTATCTGTGCATTCTGAACACTAAAAAAAATGTTAAAAGTAAGGGGACAGCAATATTGACAATTTCTGATAATGACTATCCTATTTCGGTCCGGATCAGTACAGTTTGTTTCGCTCTGGCCCTACACCAGACATCTATCTGTCAAAATGTCTAAGTCTGGTGTCAGGGCCAGAGGAAACTCGGGCTAATTAATTCCCCACCAGCATCCATGGAGGGGGGACTATAGATTTGTCTGTCCATCAATTCGTTTGTCCGGGGCAAATCAAAGATAAACATGGGTAAAAGGCTTTAACAATCTTCTGCTGATAAAGTTTCATATGGCCCAGGGTCATGGAATTTGGCCAGTAGGTACCTGGGATGAAGTGCTATAAATTGTCTTCATTTAAATGACCTTGACCTATTTTTAAGGTAACAGGGGTCAAATATGTTGAACACTTCAAACAAAAATATCCTAAGAACCATTTGGACTAGTCATGATACTAGGGTATGTTATGTAGACCAGCTGTGTGAATTGTTTTCTTTATTACAGTATTTAGTGCAAGTCGGGAGTCGAAGGTCGATGTGGGTTTAAAGCTTTAAAATTAAAATCAAAATTTCCAACAACAATATCTTCAGAACCGTTTAAGAGATGTTAAAATGTCTTGTGTTCTAGTTACCAAATCTGGTCTTAAGTTACCTATATGTCAGTTTCAACACTTCGTAACAAAAGAAACAGGTGAGCGATACAGGCCCAGAGAGGTCCTATTGTTGAACATTTATTTACACTAGTATTAAAGCAAAGTTTATTTAGTCACAAATACTGTCTTCAACGTTATTAGCACACAGGGTATTAAAAAAGATAATTAGTTTAAATGTTTCATCTGCTTCATATGAAGTTCAACCATGATAGGCAAACACAGTTCAAATTCTCTGCTTTAAAGTTCATATCATGAAAATCATTGACTGGGCCTGATCAGGTCTGGGGTCTTACTAATTTCAATTCCTCTTGAAAAAAGGGATGGGGTAACGGTGCTTATTTTGACAAATACAGTAGTGGAATTTATTGTCCTTTCAAAGGAGGAGTGTTTTGTATCAGGGGTAAAATATATTTCTAGAACCTCACCTAACCCCTTTACAATCCCGGTTTAATTTGGTGACAGACCTAATAATGGCCAAATATTTATCTGCTTAGATATATATATGTTTTAACATTTCATTGAGTTTCTATTCTTTGTCAGCAGAATGAAAAAATGTTGAAGTCAAAAAGTCAGATTCCCAGCCAGCGTCGACTTCGCCAGCCAGTGGAAGGAGTCTTCTGTAACTACAGCCACCGGACCTGCATGCACAACAGACTTGATGCATATGATTATTGTATCCGACATATTCTTGAGGACAAGAACGCTCCATTCAAACAGTGTGCCTTCATTTCAAGCAAAAATGGAAAACGTTGTCTGAATGCTGCACCAAAAGCAGATAGGAAAGATGGGTAAGACTCTTGAAAAACATGCTAAATGTTTTTAATAAAGTCAAAACTAATTTCATCATTTTTCAAATGTCGAATTTTTAAAAACACAGGCAGTCATAAGGCTTTCACTTAAATTTATATGCATCGTTTTTTTAAGATTTCGCAATTTAAAAATTTTGAAGGGCCAAATCGGAAAAAAATATTTGAATGGGTAAACAGACATAGTTATGATGATAAACTCCTTGAACACTTTTCAACTTTTACTATAGTATTTCAAATGTTTTCAAAGTTTGATGGAATTCAAGTATGGCACTATTGAACATGTATTCTATTGAAGTGATTCATAGACAACACTATAAATCCATCGCGGTACTATAATCTTTCATGACCAGCATTAATTTTAGTTAGGCCAAAAAAAAAATGTCTGTTTAGGGTTTCCCACCACTCTAGCTTTTTACCCCCGACCCAAAACTTTTTGATGAAAAAAAATAAAAAAATAAATGTTTTTTAAAAAAAACACTGATTTTTAAAAAAACACTGATTTTCGAATTTTAGAAGTTTCCTTGTCTTTTGTCTTTCAAAATGGCTTCTAGCTCCGTGTTGGCACTAAATGTCAGCATATGGAGCACAATTTGCCTCCAAATGAACATTGTTTATATAATTCTTTGTTTTACATACAATAGTAGGGTCATAATAATCACATGACCACCTGGTACACAAAAATATACAAAAAATAAATAAAAAAATCGACCTACCTACCCTTGTTTTTTTGCCAATGCAACCCTAAACAGACTTTTTTTTGGCTTTATACCAGAAGCGCTTTGAAGGTTAGTACATCATATTGTAAAATAAAATTTGTATTCGTAAATTGAAACCTTTCAAACCAGCCGACATTATTTTTTTTTGTACATTGTAATAGCCTGATTTTTTTACCCTAGTTTCAAGCTTTTAAATTGCAAATCAGTGCTAGTCATAATTTTTAAATGGTGCTTTATTAAATTATTAATTTCAAAGCTTACAAATTATTTTTTTGCTCAAAATTTCAGGAGAGAAATGTTACTGTTAGTGTTAACCGTTATATAATGTACGTTTTTTATCCAGCTACATTAACTCTATATTATTTTCTAAAGCTGAGACTCTATTATTGGGTGTTGAAATGATGACAAATTAATTCAAGGAAATGAACATCTTTTCAGAAACAAAACAACCAGATATGGAAGAGTATATATATGAATTTGGCAATTTTAATCAATTAGTTCTAATCAATGCAAATATTTAGTAATGGTTAAAAATTTGAGGAAAAAAATCCTTTAAGTCTATATTTATAAACAGGATTCACGATAAGCTGCCACTGATTGTATAGGAGACTAGGAGTACCACTGATTGGTGGAAATCATTGGTCTATACATGTACTGTGCTATAACATACTATTTTGTCATTGATATATCTCACTGAAATTTTATTCTGATGTCTGTCCATGCCAGTATCATCTGTTACAAATCATATATAGTCTGTTTCTGATTAAGAAGCCTTAGCAGGTTTTTAAAATGATTGTAGAATCAGCATTGGCAGTGGTAATTTATCTAGGTAAGAAATGTATCAAACACTTTCTACATTTATAAATGTTTTATTCTGTAAACATGTCTATATTCACCAATGGTAAGAAGATATTACATTGATAACTGTTTGAGATATTTGGTATTGCATTTTGTGGTAGATGATCATGATCAGAAGAAAAAAAATGATGATGCAAGAACAGAGTAATCATGCATCAGCCACAATATTGCTGTAGGTTGACAAACTGGTTGATCGACACTTAAGTAGTGCCATTTTACATCGCAAGTGTGTGTAGTGTGTTCATCTGTTGATAATATTTGTACTCTGATATCATACAGTTTGACTCACTGAAAGTAGTATGGGGAAATCTTGTCAGAAAAGAAAAGTCAGGTAATGAATTTTATAATGAATAGTAAAAAAATGTCCTTGAAGGTGATAAGTATGTGCCTTTAGCTGTCGCAATGTGAAATTGTTTAAACAACTCGTTACATCAAGGTGTTATATTTAGTCTAGAACAAGAACAAATAAATATGTTGATTTTAATTTCTTGACCATTATTTGACTTCTCATCGGGGATTGATTAAACAAGGATTGAAATGGATATGTTTATAGTTACTGTGCAGAACACTCACGAAGAGCAGTCTTGCTACGACAGAGATCCACGAGAAAGCCACAGCCCAAAGAGACAGCTGAGAGTCTATTGGAGGACTTGGATCACTTCAAAGGCGTGCAGGACAACCGACGAATCAAGGGTTATTCCGACAGTGTTGCCAGCAAAGTCCTGGGTTAGTATGATCAGGATAACATACCATATTCATATATGTTGTTTATTGAGTAGGATTCAACAGCATACTACAGGTCTTGTTTTCCAGATAATATAGGGCCTAAAATAAAACACAACCAAGGAGTTTAAAGTCCCACAAGCCAGATACATGTGTTTTAATAGTAGAAGAAGGTGAAAATGTAATATATTTCATTATGAAAATTTAGAAAGTAAAAAGTGACATTTGTTAAATGAAATGTTTTCTTACCTTTCTATCTAAATTTAAAATAATAGGGTCAGGTTTAGGCAAACACACATTACGTTCAATTTTTATCTTTAGTCGATCATCAGTCACTTGATTGGAAGTGATGATCGAGTATGAATTTACAAGCGATTCCCAACACTGCTGTCGGATGCATATTTGTGAATTGAAGCTTTGCCAGTGATGAACAATAGATTTGCACCTGAACAATATGTGGATAACAGCACGTCAGTCTGAGGCAAAACTTTAATTTTACACAAAACATGTATAATGTGCCTTCCAGGGATATTTCGATAGGTGATCTGTTATATCAATATTCACTATCAATAGCAGTAAAATTCAAATGAAAAATTGCTGCTCCTGTGTTAAATGATCAATGCATATTACTTTTTTTTAAGCTAAATTGATAACTAGGAAATAATTAGACTGATAATGAAAACATGTTAAAATATGAAAATATAATTGAATTGAATGCAGAATTTTATTAATTTGTAAATGAATACATAAGACAGCACTGATAGTAATGATAGTTTATAGTGTGGGAAGTTCTAATAAGATGCATATAACAAATATAGTCTAGCACAGACCAAGCTCAGCCTCTTTCTTTACTGTTTATTATGTTTATTGAGAGTAAATTTATACTTTGAAGAAGAAAATTGCCTGTGTTGTCATTCAAAATCTGCAATTATGCAATATTGGTCGGGAGAAAATGTTCAAAAATAATATGCCAATGACGAAGAAGTTGATTTGCACCTGAACCTCATGTTGATACTGCACGTCAGACTGAGGCATGCATGTATAGAGAGTATAGAAAACAGTGTCTATCATATTGCCTTACAACATTCAAAAGAATTTCAAACCGTTTCTCAAATCAGTGAATAAAAGTATTAAAACTGTTTAACCTAATGTAGGATTGGATGAAGTTTGTTGGACCTGATTAAAAAGAAAATCTTGACAATGTCACTATAATTAAAAGTAAAATATATGAATTATCCATAAATCTAAGGCAAAGATAACATATTGGTGTTTTAATTTCTTACACTGTTAGTTCAACCTACTGTCTAGTTCATACCTTCATATAGAATAATTCTATTGTAATTGAATGTTTGTCCATGAACCCATTGCATTTCCTAGACATAATTCAATATTACCTATATAGCTACTTAAAATGGACCATGTTGAGAAGATGTTCACAGAATACATATACCCAGGTAATCAAAACTGAACACTTAATTGATAAGTTCAGTTGTGTACGTGTGCCTATACAGTATTTAAATTTGATGGCCATATGCTCCACAAGTTTTTCATTATGAAATGATGGAAGTGTGTATATACTATTTTGTGTACGCCTGTGATGACGCCATTAGATTTGCTCCTGAATTTAATGTTGACACAGCACGTCAGGCTGAGGCAAACTTGTGTAGTGGAGAATAATGTTGACATCTCACATATGAACCAATTGACAGTTGCATTCAAAACAAAATCATGAAGAGTTATTCGTATTTTAAAAATACCTTCAATGGACAAACATTTTCAGATATCATATAAATGAGGTAAACTATAATACTAAAATAGGATGGGATTGAAAACTGCATCATGAGAGCTATATATATATATTGTATATACTATTTTGTGTATGCCTATGATGACGCCATTAGATTTGCTCCTGAATTTAATGTTGACACAGCACGTCAGGCTGAGGCAAACGGTTAACTAGTGTATTAAAGATAATGCTGAAATCTCCCAATGACTATTTAAAGACAGAAAAAATAATTAAGGTTTTTAAATTGGGAAAAAATGTAGAATACCTTCAATGGACAAAAATGTTAACATTAAAGAAGTACCAGTAAACAACAAAAGGATTGAAACCTTCTAGTGAGAATTATTCATATAAATATCCATGAAGAAATCTGACAATACACATATGATATGACTATAGCTATATAATAATTTTTTGTTTTGACAAAAATAAATCCTTAAATTTTTCAGATTTTGCACATACTATTTTGTGTATGCCTGTGATGATGCCATTAGATTTGCTCCTGAATTTAATGTTGACACAGCACGTCAGGCTGAGGCAAACTCAAAATAGTGTAGAATAATGTTGACATCTCACATATGAACCAATTGACAGTTGCATTTAAAACAGAAAACATGAAGAGTTATTCGTATTTTGAAAAATAAAATGCCTTCAATGGACAAACATTTTCAGATATCATATAAATGAGGTAAACTAATACTAAAATAGGATGGGATTGAAAACTGCATCATGAGAGCTATATACATATATTGTATATACTATTTTGTGTATGCCTATGATGACGCCATTAGATTTGCTCCTGAATTTAATGTTGACACAGCACGTCAGGCTGAGGCAATCCCATATAGTGTAAATAATGTTGACATCTCACATATGAACCAATTGACAGTTGCATTCAAAACAAAATCATGAAGAGTTATTCGTATTTAAAAATGCCTTCAATGGACAAACATTTTCAGATATCATATAAATGAGGTAAACTATAATACTAGAATAGGATGGGATTGAAAACTGCATCATGAGAGCTATATACATATATTGAATATACTATTTTGTGTATGCCTATGATGATGCCATTAGATTTGCTCCTGAATTTAATGTTGACACAGCACGTCAGGCTGAGGCAAACTTGTGTAGTGGAGAATAATGTTGACATCTCACATATGAACCAATTGACAGTTGCATTCAAAACAAAATCATGAAGAGTTATTCGTATTGTAAAATGCCTTCAATGGACAAACATTTTCAGATATCATATAAATGAGGTAAACTATAATACTAGAATAGGATGGGATTGAAAACTGCATCATGAGAGCTATATACATATATTGAATATACTATTTTGTGTATGCCTATGATGATGCCATTAGATTTGCTCCTGAATTTAATGTTGACACAGCACGTCAGGCTGAGGCAAACTTGTGTAGTGGAGAATAATGTTGACATCTCACATATGAACCAATTGACAGTTGCATTCAAAACAAAATCATGAAGAGTTATTCGTATTGTAAAATGCCTTCAATGGACAAACATTTTCAGATATCATATAAATGAGGTAAACTATAATACTAGAATAGGATGGGATTGAAAGCTGCATCATGAGAGCTATATACATATATTGAATATACTATTTTGTGTATGCCTATGATGATGCCATTAGATTTGCTCCTGAATTTAATGTTGACACAGCACGTCAGGCTGAGGCAAACTCATATAGTCTAAAATAATGTGGAAATCTCACACAAGGGCCAATTTAAGGTTGCATTAAAACAAACATTGGATAACACCCCACAAAAAATTCAGATATTAACATGTAGACAATGGACAAATATTTTCAAATTGAACAAGGAAGAAGTACTTTAACTATGGGATAGGACTTGACATTTAATTATGAGCAATTATTTGCAGATGTCTGTCAAAACTTCAGGGGTTGACACTAACTTTTAATAGGTGGTGGACCGCAGGTCCACCTGCTCTCTTGATCTGGTGGACCTGGTTAATTTCTGGTGGACCTGAATAATATTCTCAGATCTGGGGCGCTTCGCGCCCCGGTCGACGAGCATAGCGAGGAGTGGGGGGTGGGTTCGGGAGGGGGTACGNCTGACCGAGACATATCAGAGTCTGTAAAAATGGTAGTTTCTACTCCTGCTTAATGCTCAGCAATTTAGGAGTGGAACGACTGGTTTGCCTGTTGTCAGTATAATGTGACCGGGTGGGGTGTCCTGCTGGGTGTCTTTGGCAGTATTTTTCAGTGTGGTAGCACTATAAAGTCGGCATCAGGTCCGCGCTATCACAAGAAGACAAACACGAACATATCGCAGACTCCCAAAACCCACCAGCATACATGTACACTAGACGCATGCATCTTGCACACAGGGGAGGCTGTCCTTAAATGACCATAGCTGTTGATAGGACGTTAAACAATACTAAACCAAACCAAGCCAATCTGTATCTGCAACATATGAATACTACAGCTTGATTTGATGTTGAGCAGAATCTGTGTATTATTAATTAGGCATACCTGTAACCTAAAAAGTATAGTGTACAGGTATATACAATGATAGCCCAAAGTGATTTGCTCAAGAAATAAGAGATCAAAGAAATTTTCGTTCATGTAATCAAACAATTTATGACACTGTATTATTATTCAAGAGAATACCCATTACAGTCCATAGTTGCCTTTTTGCTTTTTATCATGGGATGATAATTTTTTAAACACAATTAAATGTATTTCTGTTTTATTGCAGAGTATGCTAGTTCTGAGGACTCTGACTTGGAGCCCCCTCTGGTGGATCAGGCGTGGCGTGGGGATGGTGATAGTGACCCAGAGAGTGTAGACAGTGACCAGGAGGATCTGCTCAAGTAAGGTCCCTTTATCATCACAATCTGATCACTAGCAGCGTTTCCCCTTATCATTTGTCATCTTCAAGTTTACATTTGATGGACATGATTCTGATTTGAACAAGTTGAATTCACACCCATGTTTAAATCGATCACAAGATCTATAAAATAATGATTTCTGCATAGTTATATAGATATTGGAGATGGAAGTCATAAACCTGTTTTTAGAAATCAGCTAGTAAATTTTACTATTACGTTTGTTGTTAGGCATGCTGGTGTGTACACTGCCGAGGAGGTGGCCCTGGTAATGCGGGATAAACTCATACGACTACAGTCACTCTACATTGACCAGTTCAAACGCCTTCAGCACATCATGAAGGAAAAACGTCGCAAGTACTTGCACACTCACAAACAGGAAAAGGAAACTCTTGGTAAGAATGATATCAAATAGTTATAATGTACAAGTCAAATTGTATAAAATATTACACAGTGTGTAAAGTTCAGCTTAATAGATATATTGTATCTATATGTAAATAATTGAAATAACATGACTACAAGTATTTCAATTTGTCTGGTGTGAATCTCATTGTACTTAGGTATTCCAAAGCATTGTCTTAAAGTTTATGATGGTATGAACCCAGTTGTTGCCAAATATATTCCATGCCTTGGAAAATATGTATGGAAGCACCAGGTTTAAAAGCACCATCATAAATGATAAAAATATGCACTTCAGGCCTTATATTTACGTTTAGTACAAAACATAAAATTCAATTCTTTTTTCCTCCTATCTTTTTTGTGATTAGTTTTGGCTCTTGTTAAATTTTAAATCACTGTTTTACCATATGTATGATAGAACAGCTATTTTTGCTGGAATAAAAGACATGGTTTCTTGGGTTGCTATTTCCATCAGGTGATTAACATCAGTCAAGTGCCATTTAGGAGTTTGAATTCGACACAATAGGATTGATCCCTGATTACTCTGCTAACAGTATTCTAGAAATACTCAAACTGTTTCCAAATGGAACACATTCAAATGTTAAAGTAAGTTCTGGCATTATGCCTTCATGAGGGCGACGGGCAAAATCCTTTCTGATCAAAGGTTTCTCAGAATAACACTTGTTTCTCATACTTTCTATTCCATAAATGAGTTGTATCAATTGTTATATATTTACAGGAAGTTTATCTGTTTACAAAGAAGGACCAGAAACAAGAGACAAATACTCTAAACTGAAGGCACTGAAGAGATACCACAAAAGGCATGGAAAGGTACAACATCTCCTTTGATAGTGAGGCAATAGAACAATAAGATTTAGACAGGCAAGAGAAAGTTCAATTAAATGGTTACATCTCTGTAAGTCCAGATTAATTTAAGGTGGCAAGTATTCTAGTGAAGAATTTGGGGTAGAAAAAGACCTATCTTAATTGAAGTGTTCTCTTTCCAAATTTTAATGTTTTCTATTTCAGGAGGCGCTGCTACATCGTCAGTCCAAGCAGAGGAGGATCGCTGTGTCAGAAGGGGCCAACTACCGACCACCGTCCTACCCAAAGTGTGTTCATGTGGAGGACGGCAACAAGTGTTTACACAGAGCCCTCCCACTGTCAAAGTACTGCTCACAACGTATCCTTGCACAAAGTAACATTTGTTTAGTAGCTACTCTGCAAAAACACTGTGAATCAATAAATTTCCCCGTTATAACTGTAACAGTGAAGGACCAAAACAAGCTATTAAATTTCGACATCTTCTAAGCAGCTGTAGAGATTTTACTGGGAACAGTCTTAGATGATGGGGATTCAAAAAGGTTGGGGCCAAAAAAGGGGTTATTTGGTGATATTACTTGACTTACACAATGAGATGGATATCAACTGTATTTAGTTAGAGTTGTCTGCATGTAATGATGATTCAAGAATTTACAAACTGAGGGCAACATCTTTAATAATACATTTGTCAATATAAAAAGCAGATTCTCAGGGTAAAGTTTAAAAAGTCCAGAACTAAGAGAAAAGCTTGTCAAAAAATATAAAAGCGATTACATAACCTTGACTTCCTCCCTAGACATTTTGACTGACCAGTACCAGGTGTTGTACAGACCATGTCAATTTGGGGGAGGTCGGTGTGGTCAGCCTGTGGTCACCCTAGAGGACACCGCTCGCTGTCCACTCCACACCTCACTCAAGGAAATGGACACTAGATTTCCACTCAAACCAGAGGTAAGCAACTCAAATATTGATTTTATATTTAGTTAGTTTCTATAGCTATGTGGGTCAACTAATGAAGATCACTTATTTTACTAAACGTCAATACACTTGAACAAGGCTTTTTCCTTATCGATATAAATTTAAGTGACAAAGAAACTTACATTTAAATTGAAATCATTGTCCAGGCTACTATTAACATCACAGGCAGATTTGTTGCAATTCCGAAAATAGCTCTCAACACTTGAAGTTTGCTGTGAATTACGTACAAAATTCTCTTTATCAACTTACGGTAAACCTTCGGTCAGTTCGAACAAAATTAAATAAATATTGATGAACCTGTTCGGATTATACAAAATTATGCTTCAGAAATTAAGCGTGAGTTTGAACTATCGGCAAAAATTTCGACAAAGTGCAAATCAAGTCACAAACATATACCCGACATATTTTCTTCACCAGTGTATACCTCTATATATCCAATGTAAGGTCGATACGTAACAATGACGGCCTGGCATAGAACAATGGCACATTAATAAATGGGTAAAATGATAGTATATTATTTATATCAATGTTAATTGATCATTAAACTTTCTTATTTCGTGATAATTATGATAGTTATTGCAAAGCAGAGGCCCTTGTGTAGGCCCCGAAACAGTACACATTTCATTTGTGACACAAAAGTTAAGACTACCTAGCTAAATATTGAGTCTCTGCATGGTTAGGTTTTATTTGAATCAGAAACTATTGTATATATTATTTCGTAATGAATGGTCTGTTTAATAAATTGAAAACATAGTCTACATAACCTGTTGCGTTTACAAAGCGTTACTGTACATTAAATATAGGTCTATATGTTAGTAAAATTAGGTCAGAACATCAACATGTCTGCTTTAAATTATAAGTGATATAGTCCTAATACCTACCAAACTTATTTGACACCTTCAAAATTACCCATCGCTAATTGGGACACCTGTGGATTGTTTGGGCTTTGACATGAATGCTAATCACGTCACTCACCATGGCTGGGCGGCCGATTCCTACCGCGACATCGTGTCCTGCCATACCTGGTGTGAGGCACACGTTTACAGGTAATACCTTGATTGGCAATAATTAAGGGATGTCTGGTCGCAATAAAATAATCAAAATGCTGAGTTAACACTGTATTTGACAACACACGGGTGATTTTTTAGCGTACAGCCATACAGCTCGACATCAGTTTGTACTGATCGCATGTTATTTATACATTGTCGGGGCCTAAGTTGAAATTGGCTGTCTCGTGCATGATGTATTTTCCAAACAATGTAAAAAAAAAGAATCAACGCTAAAATCTGTGACATATATTTATGGTTTGTCTGTCACAGCTGTACTGCAATGCTCACACATACATTACCCTAAACGTGTCTTGATCAAAGTATTGGCATTTTTCCGGGGCCGATCACAGCGAGCTTTCAATGGAGTTTGCCGAAAAAAATTTCTTACTTTACGTTTTCATTTGACAAGTTCGGACTATCCGAAATAAGGTCAATCAGAGTTTGAACTATCACTAGCTAGAAAATTATTGTTTTTATTGAAAAAAGTATGTGTTCGAACTATCCGCCGATTCAAACTGACCGGAGGTTTACCGTATGCATAGTTTGAAAAATAATATTACATGTGCAAAAATATAATAAATGCTTTCAAACCACGCAGGATTTGGACTAAGAAAAGGAATTTTGTAAGCGGCAAGAATTCAGGATTTTACCTTGTGTAATCTACTTGTGGAAACAAAAATAATCAAAACAAATCTACAATACAGCATCCATTGCAACATTTGAGATCCTTAAATTTCTCTCCTTTCCAACATCTTACTTGGCAATTCTTTGTTGTTGGCCTTTGTGTTGAGTGTTGACTGAATCAATGAATATTATAGGTGCTCTCCCAAGACCAAGACAAACATAAGTCCTTAAAATTGGTAGCTTGACATTTAGTTTTATTTGGGTATTGGTCTGGAATGGTTAGTCTGTTGTCATTATAATGGAACAGAGTGGAATGTCATGCTGCTAGTCCGGATTGACATTTCCGCAAGATGGCACTTTAAATGGCCTTTATTTGGCCCATCATCTGTGGACACATCTTCATACGAGTCTATGACCTTGTCTCTTGTGAAAGCATAAAACAACTAACCGACAAAGCCCTGCAGGTTGCTCATTTCCTAGAACAGGATAAAGCCTAGTTGATAGTTCTTGATGTTCTTGAATAACTCTGACCTGTTTTGTGTGTTGTAGGAGACAGATGATGAGCTTGACCTTGATGAAGCAGAGTTGTTGTCCAAGGATATCTTGCTGCCCCACCTGGATGCCCTACAGGCCAGGGACGCAATGGCCCAACATCTTCTATCCAAAAACCCAGAACTTCCAGAGTCCATCTTCTCTGGCTCAGAGCCTGACGATCATCCAATGTCCTCATATATGCAGGATTCTTTACAGAACCTTATGCCTTCAAAACATTCAATAGACTCTGATCTCGGCATCAAAAATCAGCTTGACCAACAGCAATCTTCATCTAATATGTCCTCTGCATCCTCCTCCTCCTCTCCTTCTCCCTGGTCGGATGAAACTAAAGAGGATAAGAAGGTGGCATATGGGCCACTCTTACTCCAACACCTTCAGGGAAAAGTAGACCTCGCTAATATAAACAATAGGCCACGCACGTCTCTCCCTGCAACCAGTCCCAGGCAGACCACCACTAGTGCTATGGCCACAACACCTGAGTCTATGATAACATCTGAGGTGTCGGTTTCAACTCCCCTGTCCACCACATCATCTACACTCACTGCGAGCTCTTCAGAGAATCACAATGGTAATGAACTGTCACAGAATGGTGACAGCATGGATATATAAAACCCAATTTCCGACCCAAGCTGAAGAGGGGGAAATAACTCTAATATAGAATAAAAATTGTGGTTAATGTAACAAGGTCAAGTTTTCTAAATTGTACTGAATACAACTTCTGTTTAATAACTTATCTTAGTAAATTGGAAACTCAATTAAATGAAAGATATTGTTGATGGGACCAAATTGAAATTTACATATACCCTACTATTTGATGTTCACCATTTATGCTTTAGCAGATAGTGTACTCCTGTTACAGTGCTGTCAGTCATCAGATGTTCACTGTGTTGTTACTTTGTTTATTATGTATTTTGTTGACATTTAATAAATGAAAACTTAATTGTACAAATTGTTATATTTTTCACTACAAAATACTATGTATGCAAGCAATTTTTGGCAGGGAATATGATGAATATTCACGATGTACAATATAGATTATATGATCCGATCAGATTTAACTCGTACACATACTGCAGCATTTGTTAGTAGAAATATGATATATAACCTGTTATAACAATGGGATATTGGCACTCACCATCACAGAATCTGTTGGTTTGTACAGGGTTAAGCGTCCTTTTAACAGTTAAGGTCATTTAAGGATGTGTAGATTGATGGTCATCCAACAAGTCTTTCGACCTTTTGGCTCTCTAGAGTAGTGACATGTAAAAACTAGAAAATAGTATCAAGACTATTTAAATGTGACCTCGATGTGATCAGGACCTTGGGCATGGAGACCCCAAAAAGGTCTGACATATCTCCTTTTCTATCCTACATATGTCCCTTAAATTTCATGGAGCTATCTTCAGCTCTTAACATCATAAAACCCCCAACATTTCATTCAGAAATGGAGGAACATTTTATGAACATAAATGTTCTAAGCGAGTATCCAAAATGAAGGCAACAAAGAAACACAAATTCTGTTTTCATCGTTTTAATACAACGGTGTAAAAAAAGAAATTCTAACAAAATATTTAACACATAAATGTAGAATTCATGTTCCCCTCTGTGACTTGTTTGCAATACAAGTCAAATGCATATTTTCATTCATTTGAAAAGTTACTGCCACAAATTCAGCTAAAAAAAAAATGTTACCACTGCACTTTGACAAAAGGAAACATTTTGTGATGATCCTAAGTATTATGTAAGGATGATTATTTGCAAACAATGATATCAATATATGAATAATAGTCTGCAACAAGAACGTTGAGTCAAACCACAAACAAAAATCTCCATTTTCGCATAATCAATAGTTGCAAAGACATCAATACCAATCAAATATGAATTTTGTTGTAGCCTATTGTTAACAGAAAGGCTATTCTAGATAAAATTTACCATCAAGAAGTGCCAAATGAAGGAAAATCATCGAAGTGGCCTGTGATGTTTCTTCATGTCCCTGTGAACAATGTAGTAGTTTTCTCTTTGTCTGCGTAGATATTATCCTATAAAAGAGCTCACAGTTGGTTGCACCATTCCATCATGAAGTTTATTGTAGTTTAGATGTTGCTGTTTTCAAGTTAATGGCAGTTACATACTTATATCTCAACGTCACATACACAAGTTCTTTGGACACTGCAGTATTTCCCAGGTCAGGGAGCGGCTACACTTGTCACATTGACAGACACTGTTTGCTGATCATGGTTTCTATCGCACATGAGCAAATGAAAGAAAGCATCAACGATAGGCCATATATTTCTTCTTATACAAGCCAGCACAATGCCTGGGTTAGAAATCCTGATATATTGGTCCCATGAAGTTAGACTAAATAGCCTGGTATGCTAGGACTTTGCTGACTTCATTGGGATGTTAAGTGACATGAAGTCATCCGCCACCACTACTTGGTCTTCTCGTAGAATTTCCATAGCCTCGAGACGCAACTTCTTTACCGTCTCATCTCCCTCCTGTAGAAATACAATGTTACTGATATTATCACAATCCGACTTATAACTGATATTTCCAATTTATAAATGATAACATTTCATATCATCTAATAACAATCCAAAGATGGTTATTGTGTCGCCTGCGAAAAGCTGGTGACACATAGGTGTTGCTTTGTCGGTGTCGGCGTCGTCCGTGCAGAGGTTTTCGTGCAATAACTTGAATTTACTTGGGCCGATCAAACTCAAACTTCATGCATTGCTTCCTTATCAAAAGTGCTTGCTTGGGATTGCTTTTCAGGTCCAAAGGTCAAGGTCACTGTTACTATAAATAGAAAATCTGTTTTCGTGTGATAACTTGAGTTTCCTTGGGCCGATCAAACTCAAACTTCATGCAGTGCTAAGCATACTTGCATTTTCAAATGTTATTGACAACACTAGCTGTTTAACATCATAATCCACAAGTTTATTCATTTATTTATGGGAAACCATCCGACAAATCATACAAATTAAACTTGGAATTGAGACAATGAGTATCCATAGCAAGTTCCTTAAAACTCAGAGTATTCTTCCCAGAATAACAGATTATATAACAAAATGATGCCATCCAAAAACATAATCTATGATTATTGCTTACTTTTAACATTATTTCTTGAAATGAAAAGTGTATCTATTTCTTCGTAATCTCCCAGCTTCCTGCGCAGGCGACACATCCACTTCCGTGGAATTCTTGTTTAAACAAGTGACTGCTTCTAAGTTATTTCACATTGCACAAGTTCTATCAGTCAATCAAAGTTATGAGTTTAATTTGTATTTGAAATTTGAGATCACAGCATTGTGCAAAATATTGTCTAAATGCTCAAACAATATTAGAAATTACTGCTATTACAAAGAAGAAAACATGGCTGGATTCTGTATGAGAAATGGATTTGTCTGGTGAAATATGCGATTAGGGAGTTCGCTTACCTTAATTTCAGCTGCCAGTGGTTTATATCGCTGACTGAAGTGAGTAAGGACCAGCTGTTTAACTTTCAGCTCCGAGGCAAGTTTAGCTGCCATATCTACAAAATAATTAATCTTAAATAGATGATCCTTGTATTATTATTCTCAAAATGGAGTACCAAGGTAAACCGTTGATTGAAATTATCATTAAAAAAGAAAATTACACGAATATGATCACCACAAGCAGAGCATTATATGCCTGCAACAAATTTGTGGAATTCATGTAATTCAGGAAGGGCAATGCATGTCTGTGCAAAGTAGAAACATACATGTATGTAGTTTACTCTGTGGCTTGTCTTTTTCCAGTGGGACTAGGTGCATTCACAAACTTCACACTACCAGAAAATGTTACACCAATTAAGGGGAAATTCTAAGTTAAAAAGGGTCATAGCTATCAAAAAATTGATGGGTCATCATTCTGTAAAATTGATGCAACATCCTTATTTTATGATAAGTAAATCTTCATATGATATCTGATATGCATACAAAATTTCATTTTAATTTGGTTGAAAACCTAAGGACTTGTTGTGTTCACAAATTTTAACGGACGAACAGACAGATGGACAGGGTGATAGCATAAATAAAGCAGTTTTAAAGATATTAGAGGTGGTTATTCAGTTTGAAGACAAACCAGTTAGACTATCGGAGCTAGAGTTATAACCAGGATATAAAATTTAATGAATTTTTTTCTAGTTTTAGTAACTTTTACTTTGTAACCAACCACCACCCCACCACTAAAAAAATACAATAGGGATATTTCTTCATTGATGGTCATCACACATTCAAAGCAATCGGAGGATGAATTGCCATTCAGAAACAACAATAACAAGAAAGCCATGAAAACATTTGTCACGTTTTTACATACTTGGTGTGGAGTGACCTTTCTCAATTGCACTGTCCTTAAGTTCGTTCTCGAGTGTTGCCTCGTGTACCAAGACATCAGCATCGTGACCCAATTTGTAGAGCTCCGATGAATCACACGAGTCTCCCATGATGATGACTTTACGACCAGGTCTCGGAGGACCCATGGCTTCTTCAGGTTTTATCTGATAACAAGTAAGAATTTAATACATTTAACATCATGTTTTATACTGTTATGACCAAACAAACAATATAACGCTTCTGAGATTTCTAGAAGAATACTATAAATTTCACTGATCATTTATTAACTAGTTTGAAATACAAATCAGTCTTTCTCTTCATATGGTATCTATCTATACTTGATACAGTAGCAAAATAGATTTACAAAATTTTTCCATCATTTCACTCTTAAGCATGTCTACAAATAATCAAGAAAACTTCATATATCTATACCAAAATAATCTAAAGGAAATTAGATCCTTGCATTGCTAGTATTTATTTATGCCAGGGTAGGTTACTTCAATAGAACATATCAATAAACAGGAGTAAAGAAAGTTCTACTTTTATCTTAATTTTTATGGAATTTATTCAGTCAGCTTTCGTGTACAAAATGAGTCATTATCGATGTTGACATTGTACACTATTTTCACTTGTACTTTTCAAATGCAGTCTTCATGAGATTTGTGTTTTTCTGTTATGACTCAGTGAGAATAGTAAATTGATATCTGAATTGTGACAATCAGCATGGTATTTTACTCAAAAATTGAGATTCAGTAATCAGTGAATTGAAGGGAACCCATCTTTAAGGCTTTTAAAACTCATCAATGAAGACAGGTGTTTAACTGAATGTGTAACTTCATTCCTGTAGAATGATTAAACATACTTTTCTTAAGTACAGATATATATATTTAAAATTATTCAGTATTTTGCATAAAAACTGGAAAGTTCAACTTTTTTGCTCTTTAAGCAAATATTTGTTTATCAGGCATTAATTTAATGGATATGAATCCTTGTTATTATTCTACGGTACCAAACACCTATAAGGTCATATGATGATGGGTGCAAAGGGACCTCCGAAAAAAAACAAGAGAAATAAAAAAGGAAAAGATACAGATCCCAAGTGCCGCCATGAGGGTAACAGATCAATTTTGGTTTCTTCAATATCCCCTTAGTAGAAGGCACAGAAGGAAACCCTGGATTCTGCAGGGGGTGCCCATTTTAGTGGCCCACTTACCCACAGGTGTCCCGTTTAAGGTACATTGACATTACATGTCACCAAAGTTACTTTTTTCCATGAGCCTCCTATTCTGCTTGAATAGGGAGTGCAAGAAACAAGTCTAATAAATACACAGCACTTACTATTTCCCCTGAAGGAAGAGTAACAGAAAATCCCTGTTTCAGTTTTCCGTACTCTGGGCCAGACTTGAGTCCTCGTGCCTTCAGCTTTTGTGGGTCCAGTCTGGAAAACATATACAGAAACATTTAAGTGATGTTAACTCAGCACTTTTACATATATGTATAGTGAACATACTTAAATATAAAGACCTCTTCCTAGTATAAAATCTTATATGTCCAATACATTTGTGACAAGATTTAGAGACTTTCCCTTGGCTAAGGACAAAGTTTTGTGTAAATAATTGGTTGAGTCTATGAAACAAGAGGCCCAGAGGGCCTGTATCGCTCACCTGGATACCTAAGCAATCATGGCAAACTATTCTCCAAATGAGATCAAGGGAATATGCCAGACCCCAAGGCCAATCCTTGTAGCATAGCTATATTAGATTTTTCATGCCCAGCAATTTTATGTATGGTTATGGGGTGGGGATCTCAACTGTTTCCAAGCTTTGACTCAGAATTTAGGTCCCTAGAGTTGTGTCCAGACCCCAGGATCGATTCTAATATCTTGACTGCATTTGTCTCTTTTTGCCAAGCATTTGTATATATAGTTTTGGGGTGGGGATCTCAACCGTTTCAAAGTTATGACCCAGGGGCCAAGTCTGCAAGGGTGGGGCAGACCCTGGGATCAATTCTAATATCATGACTGCATTCGTCTCTTTATGCCCAACAATTGTATATATAGTTTTGGGGTGGGGATATTAACCATTTCAAAGTTATGACCCAGGGGTTAAGTCTCCAAGGGTGGGGCAGTCCCCAAGGCCAACCTGGAAGCATATGTGCAATCATCTCTTTATACTCAGCAATTGTATATATACGGTTATAGGGTGGGGCTCTCAACTGTTTCCAAGCTGTGACTAAGAAACTAGGTCCCTAGGGGTTCGGTCAGACCCCAGGGTCTATTCTGATATCATGATTGCATTCGTCTCTTTATGCCCAGCATTTGTATATATAGTTTTGGGGTGGGGATCTCAACCGTTTTAAAGTTATGGCCCAGGGACTATGTCTCCAAGGGTGGGGCCAGACCCTAGGGACATCCTGGAAGCAAATGTGCATTCTTCTCTTTATACTCAGCAATTGTATATATGGTTATATGGTGGGGATCTCAACCATTTCCAAGTAATACATTTTATTGGCCCCACCCCTTAGCCCGGGGGGTCAGCCCCACCATTTGTACAATTTTGAATCCCTGCCTCCCATGAATACTTCCGACCAAATATGATCAATATCCATGGCATAGTTCTGCAGAAGAAGTCATTTATAGCAATATAACCAAATTGCCCCCTTTTGGCCCCGCCCCTCAGCCCCCTGGGGGGTCAGCCCAACCGTTTGTACAATTTTGAATCTCCACCACCTAGAGATGCTTCCAGTCAAATAAGGTTGATATCCATCACTTAGTTCCAGAGAAGAAGTCACTTAAAGCAGTATAGCCAAATACCCTTTTTGGCCCTGCCCCTCAGCCCCCTGGGGGGTCAGCCACACCATTTGTACAATTTTAAATCCCTGCCTCCCAGGAATGCTTTTGATCAAATATGATTGATATCCAGTGCACAGTTCTACAGAAGAAGTCGTTTGTAGCAATATAGCCAAATTGCCCCCTTTTGGCCCCGCCCCTTAGCCCCCTGGGGAGTCAGCCCCACCATTTGTACAATTTTTAATCACCACCACCTAGGGATGCTTCCAGTCAAATATGGTTGATATCCACTTCTTAGTTCCAGAGAAGAAGTCGCTTAAAGCAATATGGGCAAATTGACCCCTTTTGGCCCCGCCCCTCAGCCCCCTGGGGGGTCAGCCCCACCATTTGTACAATTTTGAATCCCCACCACCTAGGGATGCTTCCAGTTAAATTGAGTTTAATTCCAACCAGTGGTTAAGAAGAAGAAGTCGTTTAAAGAAATTGTTGACGTACGGACGGACGACGGAAGGACGACGGACGCCACGGTATGGCATAAGCTCACCTTGGTCCTTCGGACCAGGTGAGCTAAAAATACAAACCCATCAATATTCAATTCAATTAAGTTCTGTTTCTATCCAATATGGAATCTATTTAGTTCCTCGACACCAGACTCAAATATCTCTATAATGAAATATTAAACAACAGTTAAATGCAATAATATGTGCAATTCTACCACGTCTGTGATGTAACGACGGTTTTCATTGGTTAAAAAGAGTGCATTATTGAGCGATATACCATGTACGTGCCAATAATCAATGCACGTGAAATAGTGCGCACACATGCTGTTCCAACAACCTCCACGTATTTTATAATGAATTAACATAAATAGCATAACTGTCAGGCGGGATAAAAATATTTGACAGGCCTGCCATTCAAAAGATTACACGAATCTATAGATCAAAAGTATGTGGGTTCGTGCAGTGAAAATGGTTTATTAATTATTGACATTAAAAATGTACAGGTCTGAAGACAAAAGGGTAAATCATTAATTACTTCTGTCTTTACTTGACTGGGTAGTGCCATACATTTCACGATGTGTGCAGGGTGTTTATGTACTGTCAAGCGTTGATTTCATGTTTTGACGAACAATGTCGATAGCGTGCCAATGTTTGATTGATTGAAATAAACATTGTGTCTGACGTCACACGTGTTCAGTTGTTTCTGGTCTGCAAAACGTCGTCTGCTTTCAAAAAATCAAAGTGATGTCGAGTATTCACCTACAGTGTACATACCGTGTGTGAAGAATAATGTTGCAAAAAGTAGCATCGGTCTGAACAGTGGTTGCAAAACACAGCTGTCTGGTGAAGGTGAAGGTCACGTCATGATCAGCCGGTCAGCGTCTTTCCATCACATCATGGCAACCGACTTAATATGCCAACTCATGTCAGGCCTATCGTATGATGTTGTATCACTGGCACTTCCAAGAAAATCCGCTTGATATCGGTACGATGATGATGGTTTCAGAAGTAAACGCAATCTGGGAATCCCAACCCTACGCACTGAGAAATGTTGGCGCGACATTGATCAAGTTAAAACGAGTCAACACGATCATGTGATAAATCTTGCACGCGCAAAAGAACAGCGTCTAATTTGCATATCGAATTATCTAGGTCATGTCGTCTTATAAGACAGCAAAACTTTACAATTAGTTACATTTGACGTGGTAGAATAAAAATAATCAACTTATGTGCGTGCATTATGGTGGAATATATAACTCGGGATTTGAAAATGTTGGAAAAATAATTAACTCAGGCCGTNATATATAACTCGGGATTCGAAAATGTTGGAAAAATAATTAACTCAGACCGAAGCGGTCTTTGTTAATTATTTGTACCAACATTTTCTCACCCTCGTTATATATTCCTACATAATGCACACACATATGTTGATTATTTCTTAAATATACAATGTATATTAGCGATCTATAATTATATACGAGTTTTTTCCCCTCAAAGCTGATGTAGTCTTTTTGTAAAAATATTTACTGTTAGTGCTAACACCACACTTTCTGTGAGATAGAAAAGAAGTTGTTAGGCACTTCATGTTTAGAATGTTGTGGAAATATTCCTTGTCTTTCCACACCTTCATTAAATTTGCTTCATTTCATGGTCAAGATTGCTTGGTGATTTAATGACATCAATCATGTCCTTCTCTCTTTTTCTTCTGTAGCTCAAAGATGGTACAAGTTTCCTTAGTTGGTCCAGATATAATATATTTTATACAGTAAACTAGGTATCAACTTGGATACTCTATTCAATATACAATAACACAACATAAAATACTGTGGGCTATCCAAAGTAGCCCCACCTCTCAGCAAACTTTGATATTACAAATCAGTACATGACATTCATCCCAAGAGGCACTTGGATACAAATAGGACAGTTGTAGGCGACAAAGTATAGGTGACATGTTCCAGACAAATTAACCCGTTTTTAACATTAAAAGGACCAAAATTTGTATACAGTGGAGCAAAAAGAGTATGCAACCCTTTGCCATCAATGAGGTTCCTGCATACAAAATTTGGCAATTGCAGGAGGGGTGCCCTTTAACAGATCTTTTCAGTATTACCAGTGGGGGACGAATAACACTATGGAAAAAGAAAATTTGATTTAAACTTACTTTCCTGGTAATGGTTTTTCCTGAATGATGAAGCCAAAAGAGGGAATCCTGTGCTTCAGCCAAATTGCTGATACTTCCATCTTACCATCTGAGAAACTAAAAAAGAAATGTTCTTATATTTAATACTTTCCTGGCAAGTGATGAGTTCAAATGGCATCATATGATGGTCAATAAAATTAGACATTGACCTGAGAAAGGGATATTGTGTGTACATTTGTGACACAGATATTGTGTGTACATTTGTGACATGTGACCATCGAAACATTGTTTGACAGTCTGGTATTGGCAATTACTCAATTTGACGTTATCTAAAATGGTTGATTTCTTAGTGCTAATTTCTGATGGTAGTGAATCCATTACTCAATCAACACCTACACTGAAAGAGAGTATGGTACTCTCTAACATTTATTCTAAAACTGGTGCCCTCCACTTCATCGTCTATGACAATAAATCCTTGATGTGCCCCAGAGTGCTACCGTTTGTTTGAAGTTATTTTACCACAATAAACCATTTAGGGTGGTGAACATGCCAGTATGCAGTAACATTCACTTACATATGCCAGACTGAGTTGAGGTCTGGCTTTATCGTGTGTCCATCGATCTCATTAGGATGACATTTGGAGCTAGATGATGAATGGTCCACCTTCCATCGCTTCTGAAACATATTCTGCATTTTAGCTTTGTACCAGTCTAAGTGAAATTCTTAATTGTGTAAGTCTTAAACATAAATGTACTAGTATCAGTCTTAAAAATCCACTTACCAGTAAGTTGAACTTGTGTGAATCAAATTTGCTATATAAGTCAACATATGATTTGGTCCCTGTATTTTTCTGTCTTCATACTCCAAGACAACTTAAACTCATTTGTCTAATCAATTTCAACTTGAGCAAATTCTACTATATCTTTATTCAAATATGCACATGCATCTGAAAAAGTTCTTTGAAAAAGTAGATAGAGATATTTTCCTTCAAAGTAGACTAACTATGTCTGTATTTAGAAATACATATTGAAACCATTATCTGAACACCACATTTGGGCACCACATTATCATAAGATATCACAGTATTTTACCATGTACTATGTGACATACCATCAGATAGCATACCTATGAAAAATTCCAAGAAAAACTTTATTATGGACTCAATGTTTTTAAAATCACTCAACTTTAGAGAAACGTTTTTCATCACTTTTTAGAAATAACTTTTTTTCAACTTGCCTTATTGATTTTCTAAAAAAATCCAGCTGACCAGGTATCATATGAAACATTATTAGCAGTAAGATATACAATTCTATCCATTTAAAAAAAAAGTGATATTGTTCACTTAATGAGAAATTCACTTTGATATCAGGAGGCCACACTCTTCATTTATTCAATCTTGAATTCACTTTTCTCAGGAATGCTCAATACCAAGCTCTGTACAAATCTTTTCACATAAATACAAGGAGTACTCTTTTAAAGATTTGCCCTATTTATCCAACTGCAGCCGACCCTCTACCCCAAAGGAGGTCTACATCCTTTGATTATAAGAAAATGACCTCTCTTGCCCCGGGAAAGCTCTATAATCAATTTAAGTCAAAATTCTTTCTGGAGTAGAATTGGTCATGTTAATGACAATTCCATGGTATAAAACAGATGATGTGCCAGGATGTGAACTCACTTGGTATTTGGGCCAGGTATCTGTTAAAAATGTGATAAATGGAAAATATGATGGTTTCTAACTGAATACCAGTTATATATTTCTTATATCAATATACTGCAAAATCATTAAATATTGATATTCAATGACACTCATGAAATAAATATAACATTCAATGGAAAACTACTGGGTAAAATAGGAATATGGTATTACTAGTCAGCAGATATCAGTTATACTTCTGTAGAATGACTTACATTCCAGTCGTCTGGGTATTGATGAGGTAAACATTCCAGTTCATGGACAGTGTAGCTGAACCCCAGGAGTGACCGTGACAGCTCCAGACTGACCCTCAGGAATTTCCGGAGGCCTACTGGGCCATACACCTCCACAGGGTCTGTCCTTTGGTTGTTCTGGCTGATGGTGCACATCAAACCCGGCAGTCCAAACATCTACATGATGACAGAGGTGAAACCATTGGGAGGATTGTGAAAACAACAACCCATTATATAACCCGATACAAATGTATGTTTATCATTGAAGCTGTTGGAAATAAGCAGATGATACAACAAAAAAGCTTTTTTTTTTTTTTCATTTTTCCTGTAGAGCAATTGCAAGCAACATATTCCGTCTTTGCGTATTGCAGAGTTATCTTCTCTTGTGAGCAGGTATTGATTGTAACGTCATTGGTTTGTGTGAAAAAATTACGTCATTTTCTCAAAAATTGATGACGTTACTCTCACAAACAAATGACGTAACAATCAATACCTGCTCACAAGAGAAGATAACTCTGCAATTCGCAAAGACGGAATATATACTTTATCAAGTGTGAAAAGAGCATCAGAAAAGGTCTAGCCAATGAAAGGACATACAGCAGGCAATGCCTTTTTGCCACTTCAAACCTTTCGTTGAAGTTTTTCTGCTCATAATTGCAATAATTGTACTTCTGTAAATGTGTCACTATACATGTAGGATAAACAATACAAACATCACGATATAAAATGTAAAACTGTAAACCATGTATATTTTAGCTATAATGCTTCTTAGTTGAAAGGTTGTGTCAATATGGTGGTTTATAAATCAAAAAGTCAATTATAGAATTCTATGTACTATAACATAAGAGAACGCTGATCAGCTATTTTTTATTTTATATGATTATGCCGACTGCAACAGTCCTCGTCAAAAGTATCTCGCTGTGATAAACCTCTAACGTTGTTGTGAGGAATACCTTGCAGTGATATACACAAATGAACAACTTAGAAATTCCTCTTCAGTTATTTCAGCATCTAACAGTGCATGTCTTAATGTGGTCACCAAGCCATTGAACAATGGTGACAGAAAATGTAGGATTTGATTCAAACATTTCTGTTGGGACTTACATGGTCTCCATGGAGATGAGTGATGAAAATTTTAGCAACTTTTCCTGGTTTTACATTACTTTTCATGACCTGTACTTGTGATCCTTCTCCACAGTCAAAAAGCCATACACCAGCCTCCTCTGAAACACCATTAGGTATACACAACAATTGGAAGGGGCGATATGATATGTTTACAAGGTATCAATAATACTAGTTAATCATAATTCTTAATGCTACATGTAGACATACTTATATGTCCATGTACAGACAACAATACTGCCTGACCTTGGTACATGTACATCCAGTTTATGATAAAATCACTGAAAATGTTAACAATTATGTAATATACTATCAACACATGTACAAGTCCTCTCAAAAATTCTGATAAGAACTTCATAACATTCAAATCATAAAGGAACTGCTGAGGTAGAACCCTAACCATGCTGTAAAGATATTGGATCTCAATAAAAATAGGGTTAAGAGACATCAGTGTTTTTTTAACTAAATTTTACAACAGCCTGTTCCTTTAAGAAATGGGAAAATATTGCATTATTTTTATTGAAATTGGTAATATATTCCTCATTTTTTGTCATTTTTGAAAAATCAGGCACTTTTTAGCTAAAGGAAACAGCCTGTATTTGGCTCTAAAAGTGAGCGAAAAACATCACTGACCACACAATTGACTTCTGGAGATAGAATTAGTCTGTGTTGTATACAGGTAATCCCTGTGATAGGGGAGGGTATATACTTACCTAGTCTGTGTGGTATACAGGTAATCCCTGTGATAGGGGAGGGTATATAATTATCTAGTCTATGTGGTATATAGGTAATCCCTGTGATAGGGGAGGGTACACACTTACCTAGTCTGTGTGGTATACAGGTAATCCCTGTGATAGGGGAGGGTATATACTTACCTAGTCTGTGTGGTATACCGGTAATCCCTGTGATAAGGGAGGGTATATACTTATCTAGTCTGTGTGGTATACAGGTAATCCCTGTGATAAGGGAGGGTATATACTTATCTAGTCTGTGTGGTAAACAGGTAATCCCTGTGATAGGGGAGGGTACACACTTACCTAGTCTGTGTGGTATCCAGGTAATCCCTGTGATAGGGGAGGGTACACACTTACCTAGTCTGTGTGGTATCCAGGTAATCCCTGTGATAGGGGAGGGTACACACTTACCTAGTCTGTGTGGTATACAGGTAATCCCTATGATAGGGGAGGGTATATACTTACCTAGTCTTGTGTGGTATACAGGTAATCCCAGTGATAGGGGAGGGAATATACTTATCTAGTCTGTGTGGTATACAGGTAATCCCTATGATAGGGGAGGGTATATACTTACCTAGTCTGTGTGGTATACAGGTAGTCCCTGTGATAGGGGAGGGTACAAACTTACCTAGTCTGTGTGGTATACAGGTAATCCCAGTGATAGGGGAGGGTACAAACTTACCTAGTCTGTGTGATATACAGGTAATCCCTGTGATAGGGGAGAGTATATATAGTCTGAATGGCAATGGTAGAGGAAGGGTTCAGACTTACCTAATCGAAGTGCTATACATGACGCTCCTCTGGTAGGCGATGGATATGCAGATCCCGTCCCCAGGAAAGTCAGTTCCATTGCCATATTTGTGTCAATATATTTTGTTACTATTTCGTCATTACCCAATATTGAAAGTGTAAGTAAAACGGCTATGCTGTTATTTCCGACACATATGCAAGTCTTATTCTAGGCTAGATGTGTTGCTGGGCTAGAAAAATATCAGGTTTGATTTTTAACTCAAGTGTTTTGACGACTAGCGTTTCTAGACGAAAATGAAATAAATATCGCACTAGAATAAACACATTATATAAAGGATATTAATTCTTTAGCACGGATTACGGTTGTTTCAGGATCTTGCACATGTGTTTAAAGGGACATAACTCTAATAAGCCTGTAGAATTTGACGCGCGTAACTTTAAGGATACAGACACGTTTCTTTCCGAGAAATAATATTAAGGAATCTGGTCACGTTGCTTTTTCTATTCATAAACAATGCCTTCATAGTCGAATTGATATACAACATGTGCTTAACCTCAATTAAACGTAAATCACTGTATTATGTTTTAATTGGCTGTTCCATAATTAATAATGTCTTTTGTATTATATTTTTAACATGTCTGCTTTGACAACACCCCATCCTGATTGTTCATCGCCTATCATTCATGATCATGGTGCCATGGTTCATTTTTGGTGATTTGTGGAATTAATGTATTTTTTAATATTCTTCCTGCCCACACATACCTCGAATACATCTGTAACTTTCATATATATAAAATAAGTTGGTCAATGTCAAATTTATCTAAACAGACTAAATGTAACCCTACATCTACACATATCACGTGTGTGGTACTGGAACAGAAGGTCAAAGACTTTGATGCAGGAGGGAGAAATATGGCAGAAGTGGACTGGTCAATTGCAGATGACCACTAGCACAGTAATGGGCGGTGACACAGGTTCCAAAATTCTGGCAGCTTGTTACATTCTTCTTTCTTGCTACAAGTCTCTGTTACAAAATTGTAATACTTCACTCAAGTCACCTTCAAAAATATTGTAGGTCTCTGAGAGTTCTTCTGCTTATACTCTTTACTGTTCAACTAAACCAGAAGGAGGATCAGTAAAGGAAAGTTTTTCATTACAGTAATTTGAGGTCAAAATGTCAATGATCACCCATTGGGCTAAAAATCATTTCCAGGCTCAAAAAACATTCAGAACATTTCGTTGTCATCCAAAAATATATATAAGTTATTAATTTTATGAAGCAGATACAAAAGTCAACTATTCCCCCCCCCCCCCATTCATTTCCAGAAATTTTTGAGATCATAGCAGTTATCACAGAATTTAAAGAATGTGGTCAAAACATGGCATCAAAAATTAGGAATGAAATAACATTGTTAATGGCAATGGGATTGATTTAAGTTGTGATTGTAGTTAGAAATGGAGGAAGGAAGAAATCCTACTGATTTGGAGGTGAAAAGGTCAGTCATTTCCTTGTTAACATGTTTTTCCAAATATAGTATTAAATTAATCTTTACATTATGCAGACAAGTGGATTAAACCCTGTTTAGGTTTGAGGTGAAAACGTTCAACTATCAATGTTTTTTATCCAGNTTCGGACCAGGTGAGCTAATAATAAAATCTTTTACCTGTAACTGAGCGAGATTGGGTTATCTCAGTCGAGGGTTAAGATTCTATAACAAAATCCCGACCGAGGCGGAAGCCGAGGTTGGGATGTTACAGAATCTAACCTCGAGACTGAGATAACCCAATCTCGCTCAGTTACAGGTAATTGATTTTTTTCCTCAGACCTTTTAGTTCGAAAAGAACTATTCAATTTTGCTAAAAACTACAAGTATTCAATTGGGCCTCAAATGATAATGACCTCTTCACTACTAAAGCTACATTTGAATGCTTCCGCGTAAAAATGTAGTCCGTCCTTACATAGATAACAATGTATTTCACAGTGTAGATCATATTTTATCTACAACATTAAATATCTAACAACATCAAAACTATACATATAACGACAAAATAGAACATTTATAATGCAAATTGTCAATTTCAAGCAGTTTACGTGCGTTTGAATAAATTGCAGTGTAAAAATTCCGCGAAATGTCACGTAAAGGTACAAGACAGATCGGACCAGATAGACAAATCAAGCATGGGGTATAACGTGGGATATCTCTGTCTGAGGTGCGAGAATGACCAATCTTGGACCTTGTCATTCCATTGGATGACTATACCCATTGGTATTTATTAGGAAAACCTAAGATTTTGGTGTTAGAAAATCAAAGGTCATTGTCACCTATTTTGGTGTTAAAACTTTTCCAGTGCAGCAATCATTTTGCTAACATGCATTTCTATGTAACAAGCTGGCTGGGTTTGATCTGGTTGAATTATTGATTAAAAGTTTTGACCAATCAGAGGACAGGGTGGCCATTTTGGATATATGATCAATTCGAGAAATAGTAGCACGTGATCAGGACCATGTGAGCAATATATTCTTATAAAGTGTGGTTACCATTGGCCAACTAATTGGTTGTATTTTAAAGATTAACTACAATTTTTCCTATTCGGCATCCCCCTTCTGCAACCAGGGAGACTAAAGCCTTCTTTGTACAACATTGAATTCATTTGGTCCAGGGATGCTCCAAGCAAAATGAGGTACTTCAGGTACTTCTGGAGATTAACCTCCACTAACATTTCCTCTTTTTTTTTGTACACGCCCCTCCACCACTAAAGATGGGGAGGGGGGAATTTATGCAACAAATACATTCTTAAGCCCAGGGATGATCTTTTTTTTCTTTTGCTATAAAATATCTGAAAATAAGTAAGTGATTTCAATCCACAACAACTAAGAAGCTCATAAGGAAAATAACAAGTTAGGAAATTAAAAATGATAAGTTTATTCCTTTGAAAATCAACACAACACATCTTATGTACCCAAAATGATACCAGCACATAATACTTGCCTGATGTAAGTGCATTGCAGTACATACAGGAGTGACTTTGGTAACAAACTCTCATTTATTGTGACAGAATACTTAAGAATTATCAACTCTATACTAGTCAATAACAAAAAACTGCAAAAATATACAGAACTTCAATGAAACCAATTTCCAACAAGAAAATAGAAAGAAATGGGTTTTTTTCTGAAAATTTCTGAAAATAAAGGAACTAGATAGTTTATAGTGTTTGGGTTGATTCCTTCATTTATCAAACCAAATGCAATGAAATCACTTAATTTTTAGAGTTGTGCTCCAAACTATTCCCCAACCACTACATTGATCAGAGTCGCTGTGTCAATTTACACAAATATGAGATTCAATTTTAAAGACTTTGGAAACATGAATTTAACTCCATTTTTTCACAACCACAGCAATATCGTTATTGTCATTATACAACACTTGTACAGCACTCTTTCTTTTCTAAACAATTATTCCTTAGAAGCTTTACATTTTTCAAAACTCTGGAGTGAGTGTGTGTTGAAGAAGCCTTTATCCTCAAGCACATCTTACCATGATCCGAAACAAATATGTGCTCAATGGCTACATTTAAATAATTGTATACGGTATGTGTAGTTCCAAATGGATTGTGTGCAAACTCACTTGAATTTGTGCCTACCATATTGTGGTAGTGGTAACTTAAGTTACGAGCATCACCTTAAATCCAGTGAAACCATGCAGTTATAGAAACAAAGCAAAGAATTAGAGCAATGCATAGTCAATCACATCGGGACAAACTTGAGTATCAAAAATAAACAAAGGGACATAACTGTTATAGAGGGACACAAGACCTGGTTTTAAAATGACATTTCCCTATCCAAAGAGGTACTCCCATACAAAATTTGGCAATTACATGTGACAGAGTATATGTGTATCCAATATACCTAACAAGACAAAGTGATACATAAGTAACAAAGAGCTACAACTGTAAATAACGGGACATGAAAATAGATTTGAGTATGTGACACTCCCAAGAAGTACTTGCATTCAAAGTTAGTGTTTGTGTATGACAGAGTATACGGAATATGTCCCTGGCAAAGTGATAAACTGACTGACAGAAGGACTGATTCCAGAGTACCAACTTACTAGTTAAGTAGCAGGGGGACTGGGGAGTGGGAAAGAAAAAAAGCCAGGCAGACGATGGATACTGAACCATGGCATATGTTCTTACATTGCATTAAATGTAAGATCACCAAGTTATTTACATATAAATTTAGGGATAATACTCATTCTATCACTAGTCTTTTGAACGTTCTATCAATGTTAAATCTAAAGCAAAGACACTCATTCTGTCAATGGTAGGGTGAACAATTCACACATGAGGCATGACTCTCATTCTGTCAATGGTAGGGTGAACAATTCACACGTGAGGCATGACACTCATTCTGTCAATGGTAGGGTGAACAATTCAAACATGAGGCATGACACTCATTTTGTCAATGGTAGGGTGAACAATTCACACATGAGGCATGACATTCATTCTGTCAATGGTAGGGTGAACAATTCACACATGAGGCATGACATTCATTCTGTCAATGGTAGGGTGAACAATTCACACATGAGGCATGACATTCATTCTGTCAATGGTAGGGTGAACAATTCACACATGAGGCATGACATTCATTCTGTCAATGGTAGGGTGAACAATTCACACATGAGGCATGACATTCATTCTGTCAATGGTAGGGTGAACAATTCACACATGAGGCATGACATTCATTCTGTCAATGGTAGGGTGAACAATTCACACATGAGGCATGACATTCATTCTGTCAATGGTAGGGTGAACAATTCACACATGAGGCATGGCACTCATTTCATCAATGGCTAGGTGAGGTATATACATGCAAATTAGGGATGACACTCATACCAGGAATGATGAGGAAATGATTTACACACACACTGACATGCTATTTACAAACACAAACCCTCACCACTTACAAAACACATGGAAGAAATATGTACACAAAGGAAATTTAAATTGAATATATTATGCTTCATCCAGTCCCCATTGCCAAATAGCCACTCGATATATGCTTTTTTATAAATGTATAACATTTGTTTTCATCACATTACCCCTTGGTTATACTCTGTATTTTAACTGCTATTATAGTCAAGTTAAATAAATAAGATAAAAACATGTTTAGCTTCTGTTGAAATGATGTGAATTCATTGGAATTATGTTCCATTCTCTTCAGGTTAATATTAAGCTCACATTTCAATAAACACACTTCAAAATACTTTTTCTGACCAAGATGAGATGTGGAATGATGATGTGGTTTCATGAAGTTCACATGTCTGATGAATTTATTTTATCTGATCAACTGTGATTTGGGTGAGATGATGAATGTCTATAATACAAAGGAATTAAGTTAAACTATTGTGAACTAAGTATGAAGTCCATTTCATCTTCGTCTGACGAGTCTGGATCGACCGGAGGTGTTGGTTCAGGCCCACTGTCATACTCTAGTAGTTCCTGATCTGTAACGTGCCAGGAATCTCCCTCCACAAACTTGGCAAACCTGTAAACACAACTCAGCAGTCATCATCTCTGTTCACCTACCATTTATATGAACATGTTTTTTCATCAATGATTATATTATATTTAACACTCACATGTTTCGATAATTCATGTCAATAGTCATTGTGCCCCTGTCTCTCTTGCCATCAGAATGACAGATAGACAAGGTAGCCGCCTCTCTCTATCAGTCTAGTGAAGATGCATGTTGTGAGAGCGTTACAAGGTCATCTCATGTCTGACTATGTAGGATTTCCGCCTCGCTCTATCAATCTAGTGAAGATGCATGTTGTGAGAGCGGTACAAGGTCATCTCATGTCTGACTTTGTAGGATTTCTCCAAGTGATAGGCTGTTTACTACCAAATCTGACAAACCCAACAATCAATGCCTTTTCAACTTACTTGAACATCTGTTCAACAAAAGTTCAAAGTAAACTTGCTGAACATTATAGCCTGGGAAATACAACAATATGTTGTGTTCAGCTGCTAACAGTTTTAAAACATCAATAAACAATTAAGATCTGTGGATTTTTTCTGAAGTGAAACCATATTGTCTAGCCTGAATCAATTTCATTAAACTTGGCATAGTTTAGTTTTCAACATTATGGACATGTTAGCATCGGGTATTGGAGTAGAAATACAATGTACATGTATTAGCTATTTGTTAGCAGTTTTAATGCAGTGGATTATATTTAGGTCTCTGATATGCATAATGTGCTAGTGCACATTATGATGTTTTCCTACAAAACAGTGTCATTCATATAGACTGTAAATGCCACATCAATACAGTTTAATGCTTAAATATAGACCAGTGGTAAATCTCATCATTTTATAGAAAAATAGCCAACTGTGATTACTATACAACAGCCAAAATGGCCAATTGCATTCAACTTCATCTTAACCACTAAGACACACACAAAAATGAAAACAGAAACACTCAAATTAAGAAATAAATCTCCAGAAAATGACTTTTGCCAGATGTTTATCAGTCTGTGCTAAGGAATATTAATAATGACAGGAAGGGGTGTATGTGTACAGATTCTTACTTTAAAGGTGTGGACAGGTGACTGACGACCTTCCATGTATCACATTTAGGACTCTGACAGAAGCTGCGGAGCTCCTCTAGTGCCTTTGTGGTTTCCTCGTTTGCCTGCTTGATATACTCATCTTCCGTCAGAAACTTACGCTTCGGTGTGAAAAACTTAAACCTGAATCATGCCAAGTTGATTTATATTAATAAGTCTGAAATATATCTTTAAAGACTATATTTGATGCACTAAATTGAAGAGAAATTATACTAAATATTACCATATTTCATTGGGCACAAAATACAATGTAAAAACAAGGGATCTGTAGCAGGCTTAAATGTTATAAAAATATGAATTAAATCTAAGAAAGCAGTTATTATCTACTTTACCATTAAAACAATGCTAGCAATGAAAATCAATTGTAAATCTATTTTAGTAATACATGTATAACATATCCACTAACCTGAGATAGTATGTTAATCTATTCCTGTAAAATCCTTTTGGTATATTGTAGAGTGTCAGTAACACAACAATGATGGCCACAGATAACTCAGGTATCTGCGTCCCCTGGTAAACAAGAATGAGGGAAACCAATTGTATAAACCACTGTATGAGGTTAAGGCTGCGGGTATCGGTCACTGGACCGTATCTGTAGCAGGCACAGAAACTTATGAGGCCCGTAACAATGACATAGCCAAGGATGTATTGCCAATATTGGATCAGCGTGCTTGTGATTGGGTCAAACATCTGTTTCATAAAATAGGTCCAGAACCAGAGTGACGTCGATGTGGCAGCTGCAATCATGACGTAGCTGATCCTTCGAAGGCTCTGTAACACGGCAACATATACAAGAATAATAAAACAAAACATAAATCATCAACCATGAGACTCAAACATTGTTTCCTGTTATAAGTATTATTTGTTACATTATACTATTGTAAGTATACATGACAAGAGGTCCAGGGGGTTTAATAGCTCATCTGAAATTTGTGATTTTTAAAATTTTGATTTAAAAAACAATGCAATAAATATCAGCTGTGACAAGGACTTAATCCAGAGGGGAAAGCAAAACACCAAGGACTTGAGTGCATTCATTTCTTCAGCAGTTTTATATGCGGCTGTTGGATGGGGATCTCAACTGTTTCCATATTATAACCCAGACAGTAAGCCCATGGGACCAGGCTAGGTGATTGGGTCAATCTTAGTAGCAGAAGTGTTGACATTCATTTATTCATGCCCAGCAATTTTATTCATAATCATAATGTGGATATTTAATTTTGTTCTTGTTTATGACCCAAGAAGTAAGTATCCATGGGTGGTTCTGGACTCCTGCACCAATCCTTGTAGCATGAGCATGTTAATATCTTTATGCCTTGCAATAATATTCATGGGGATCTCAAATGTTTTCATGCAACGATGAAGGAAGAGAACCCAAAGAGGTTTCAAAATGAAAAGCTGACAATAGACAGGTGACAGATGCTTTACCATGACATAAGTTCACCAGTCATGGAGACCAGGTGAGTTAAAAATCCCACATACTTACAAAAACTTGTTCTTTGTAAACAACCTTTACTATAAATGCAGTCTTTCATTGTCAGAAGAAATTCACACTGTTTACTTGGACTATGAACCAATGTTTAAAATATCCAAAGGGTAAATATCATCATAAATAATTACTGTCACTTTTTAACCTTTTTCTTTATTCAGACATATATTTGATTAATGAATATTTAATTTACCTGTGGAAACAGTTTTCTTAGGAAAATCAGCAGGAAAATGATGGAAGCCATCACACCAATAGATACACCTGTACTGTAGTGTAGGTATCTGTTACTGTAACACAGGTAAACAATGAAGGTTATTACACTGATGGTTACACCTGTACTGTAGTGTAGGTATCTGTTACTGTAACACAGGTAAACAATGAAGGTTATTACACTGATGGTTACACCTGTACTGTAGTGTAGGTATCTGTTACTGTAACACAGGTAAACAATGAAGGTTATTACACTGATGGTTACACCTGTACTGTAGTGTAGGTATCTGTTACTGTAACACAGGTAAACAATGAAGGTTATTACACTGATGGTTACACCTGTACTGTAGTGTAGGTATCTGTTACTGCAACAGGTAAACAATGGAGGTTATTACACTGATGGTTACACCTGTACTGTAGTGTAGGTATCTGTTACTGTAACAGGTAAACAATGGAGGTTATTACACTGATGGTTACACCTGTACTGTAGTGTAGGTATCTGTTACTGTAACAGGTAAACAATGTAGGTTATTACACTGATGGTTACACCTGTACTGTAGTGTAGGTATCTGTTACTGTAACAGGTAAACAATGTATGTTATTACACTGATGGTTACACCTGTACTGTAGTGTAGGTATCTGTTACTGTAACAGGTAAACAATGGAGGTTATTACACTGATGGTTACACCTGTACTGTAGTGTAGGTATCTGTTACTGTAACAGGTAAACAATGGAGGTTATTACACTGATGGTTACACCTGTACTGTAGTGTAGGTATCTGTTACTGTAACAGGTAAACAATGGAGGTTATTACACTGATGGTTACACCTGTACTGTAGTGTAGGTATCTGTTACTGTAACAGGTAAACAATGGAGGTTATTACACTGATGGTTACACCTGTACTGTAGTGTAGGTATCTGTTACTGTAACAGGTAAACAATGGAGGTTATTACACTGATGGTTACACCTGTACTGTAGTGTAGGTATCTGTTACTGTAACAGGTAAACAATGGAGGTTATTACACTGATGGTTACACCTGTACTGTAGTGTAGGTATCTGTTACTGTAACAGGTAAACAATGGAGGTTATTACACTGATGGTTACACCTGTACTGTAGTGTAGGTATCTGTTACTGTAACAGGTAAACAATGGAGGTTATTACACTGATGGTTACACCTGTACTGTAGTGTAGGTATCTGTTACTGTAACAGGTAAACAATGGAGGTTATTACACTGATGGTTACACCTGTACTGTAGTGTAGGTATCTGTTACTGTAACAGGTAAACAATGGAGGTTATTACACTGATGGTTACACCTGTACTGTAGTGTAGGTATCTGTTACTGTAACAGGTAAACAATGGAGGTTATTACACTGATGGTTACACCTGTACTGTAGTGTAGGTATCTGTTACTGTAACAGGTAAACAATGGAGGTTATTACACTGATGGTTACACCTGTACTGTAGTGTAGGTATCTGTTACTGTAACAGGTAAACAATGTATGTTATTACACTGATGGTTACACCTGTACTGTAGTGTAGGTATCTGTTACTGTAACAGGTAAACAATGGAGGTTATTACACTGATGGTTACACCTGTACTGTAGTGTAGGTATCTGTTACTGTAACAGGTAAACAATGGAGGTTATTACACTGATGGTTACACCTGTACTGTAGTGTAGGTATCTGTTACTGTAACAGGTAAACAATGGAGGTTATTACACTGATGGTTACACCTGTACTGTAGTGTAGGTATCTGTTACTGTAACAGGTAAACAATGGAGGTTATTACACTGATGGTTACACCTGTACTGTAGTGTAGGTATCTGTTACTGTAACAGGTAAACAATGGAGGTTATTACACTGATGGTTACACCTGTACTGTAGTGTAGGTATCTGTTACTGTAACAGGTAAACAATGGAGGTTATTACACTGATGGTTACACCTGTACTGTAGTGTAGGTATCTGTTACTGTAACAGGTAAACAATGGAGGTTATTACACTGATGGTTACACCTGTACTGTAGTGTAGGTATCTGTTACTGTAACAGGTAAACAATGGAGGTTATTACACTGATGGTTACACCTGTACTGTAGTGTAGGTATCTGTTACTGTAACACTGGCATAATCATACCATCCTTCACCCTTTAAAAAGTGCATATGAAAAGAAAGTTCCCTTACACACATGATTTTATACATAATGGCTATTCCTGAATGCAAATAATTTCAAAATTATTGATACATATTTTGAGAAGTAGTAACAAAAGATCCTTAAATTATGCTTTCACACTTACTGGCTCCAGCTTTTTGCTGACAGAAAGATGACAATGCCTGCAGCTAGGTATGCTACGTACCACAGTTCAACATCTGAAAACAAAAACATTTTCTGCAATATTAATTTAGTCTTTACTCACATTAAGCATACTACAAGACATGAAAGAGTGTACCATTTGTGAAATAACTACAAAATGTCTGTCAAACATGAGTGCCCTTTTGACCCTGTAGTTAATTTGGGAAGGCATAGAAATGGTCTGTACTCAAACAGAAAGAGACAATGCATCTATATATAAATTTGGCCCGCACTCACATATATATTCAAAGTCTAACTAGGAGTATACATCAACTCAGAATGTAACACATACTCACATTTAACACTGAAGGAGATTATACTGGATAGTTCAGTCCTCACATTTATCACTGAATGAGACTCTAAAGGACAGGTCAATACTCACATTTAACACTGAATGAGACTCTTAAGGACAGGTCTATACTCACATTTAACACTGAATGAGACTCTAAAGCACATGTCTATACTCACATTTATCACTGAATGAGACTCTAAAGGACAGGTCTATACTCACTTTTAACACTGAAGTAGATTCTGAAGGACAGGTCTATACTCATATTTATCACTGAATGAGACTCTTAAGGACAGGTTTATACTCACTTTTAACACTGAATGAGACTCTAAAGGACAGGTTTATACTCACTTTTAACACTGAATGAGACTCTAAAGGACAGGTCTATACTCACATTTAACACTGAAGTAGATTCTGAAGGACAGGTCTATACTCACATTTAACACTGAAGTAGATTATATAGGACGGATCTATACTCACATTTAACACTGATGAAGATTATATAGGACAGATCTATACTCACATTTAACACTGAAGTAGATTCTGAAGGACAAGTCTTTACTCACATTTGCCACTGATGAAGATTATATAGGACGGATCTATACTCACATTTAACACTGAAGTAGTTTCTGAAGGACAAGTCTTTACTCACATTTAACACTGATGAAGATTATATAGGACGGATCTATACTCATATTTTACATATTTAACACTGTAAGAAATCTAGGACAGGTCTTCACTCATATTAAACACTGAAGGAGATTATCTAGCTAGTAGGTTATAGGTCTGTACTCACATTTAACACTGAATGAGATTATCTAGGATAGGTCTGTACTCACATGTAACACTTAAGGAGATAATCTAGGATAGGTATGTACTCACATTTAACACTAAATGAGACTGTATAGGATGAGTCAGTCTGCACAGCTACACAACTCTTGTTGAAAGCTGTCAGAGATATGTCCTCCCTATCCTTGTTGAAGAAAAGATTGAGTTGCTGGATAAAGTTGAGAAATGGGTTTTGGGTGTTTGTCTTTTTCCAAGTTTCTTCCTCAGAGTCTGCATGTATTTTGACAAACTGTTCTGGTACAACGTTGTTAGCAAATTGAAGCTTGATCTGTAGTAACACACAATGAACATTCAGATTTCTTTCACATATTTATGAAAAATTATACATTTTACAACAATTTTTGAAACAAATTTCATCACTATTAAGCATGCATGTGGTTTTGATGTAAGATGCTAAACAATAGCTCAAAAAATCTCCTGATATAAATAACACTGTAATAACCTCAGTATCATTCCCTGTGATTTTTATACAATGCTCCACAATTTGATAAAACAACAACTTTGGAGATCACTATGAGATGAACTTATTAAAACATGAATATGTTTATCAGTTAACTTTGTCAATCTGTGAAACTCATTTTCAATATTAATATACTTTATGTATGGATGTCAAACACGTTTTTTTAACTCCATGCATGTCCTACCGATACCAAACTTATCTTCTGCAACTGTTGTACAGGTAAAGGGAATTTAGAATTTGGATATACTGTTTTACAAATAGCTGCTTAATGACAGTGGTCACATAGTCTGAGTCTCTATTTTGCAGATGGTATATAAATAGTCCATGGGTCTATATTTACAGTGATAAAGATATTATTTTGACAAAGTTGGTTAAATCAACATTATACAGTACAGAGTTTTGCCTCAACATCTGAGCTGTCAAATAGATATAACTACATGTACAGCTGCACAGGTTGTGTGTACTGCTTATATATCAAAAATATTGAACTTTATTTATTTTACAACAATTGTGGATCAACTTTTTTTCAATTTATATCATTCACTCTTGTTGGCCCAAGTGGTATCATGCAGGGGGTCTTAATATGAGAGAAGATCATGAGTACTCAGAGAAACCACACGTTACTGAAAACCCAGGAATGACCAATAGAATACTGACTGAAGGACAGGTAACTGTGGATGTTAACTCCTTTTTTACATACCACTGGATTTGACCAGAGAAGGTACAATGACTGTCTTTGTCCCTCATAGCAGTAACATCGCCATGGAGAGGTAACTCTGTCACTATTGTTGTTGTCTGTTAAGTTGGATGAAACTACTTCTCTATATCCCAATGTCAGATGGAAACCTGAAACAACAGTAACAGTAAACACTCTAGTCTACAGTATTGGTGATGGGTAAAATTTAATTTGTCAACATTCATCATTCATAATCATTGTCGGGACCACACATGCTGTAATAGTTGACCCTTGCATGAAAGTTTGTGTTCACAATGTGAAGAAACACTTTATCCATTAGTTTCTTTTCCTAAAATATTGGAGTTTTTTTTATTAGTTTGTAAATTAAAAGAGGGTGACTAATACCTTGTTAAGTGCCTTGCTAATTTTAAAATCCATTGTCAGTTGATCTGTTTGCTTACAGCATCAAAAGCTATTGAGATGTAATAAACAAACTAGATAAGCTGGAATTCACAGGATGTTTTAGTGATGGAACCCCAATATGACTTATATCCTTTTGTGTTTATCATATGTCCAAGTATTGGTTTTCGACTGCTTTCTGTGTAAAAATATATTGTTATAGATAGTCCTTGCAATGTTTTTTGTATGCCTTTAGAAGTAATTTCTATAGTAGATAAGGTCTTTGAATAGATGATGTATGATCTTTGATAGAGTTTGTTTATCTTGTTTTTCATTTGGGTTAATTATAACCATTCAGGGGTATTATTCTCAAGTTTTTAAAATGTTGGGTCCATCTCTAGGAAAAGTATATCATAAGGTTTCAGACGCCAGGTATATTGGTCGTCTCAAAGTTGTACATTATTTGGGAGGTCAGGTTGATGAGGTTATGTGGCCATAGTAACTACTTCAGGGAGTCTATTAAATTTTGTCATCATGGAGATTGGAGAAGTCATAGTGCACCTTCTGATGCTGGGAGGTATAATGATCAAAGATGATCCCTTAGTGGTTTGACTTGCTCGACATCAGCAGAATGCTCGAACACTATAATCTTTTCCCAAATAATTTTACATTTTTGGCGAGCGTCAGTTCTTCTACATAATCATATCAAGGGGAGGAGAGTCAACACCAGCCCAATGGAAGTAGGGTCCTTATGTCAATTAGCCCAAAATAATTAACTGATTCCTATTTTATTTTTTTATGGGGTACAGCGCTTGCTGAAAATTGGATACATAATCACTAGCATAACAGTATTCCCAATCCTTGCCCTGTTTTCTGTCATTAAAGCACATTTTCAAACATGACGTACAGTCATATCCATGGAGGAGGACTTAGTATATATATATATATATGTCTTTATCAGTTCTATCTTCTTGTAATATGATGTAAATGTAACTGTTCTGTTTCAATGTGTCTTGAAAAAGGAGCGGATTGCTCCGAAAATTTGACAACCTAAACTTGTCCACACTGTTGGAATTACTTCTTTGCCCCATATATATAATATGTACCCCTACCTGGGAGGCTTTTAAGAGTGCTATAACGCACCAATAATCTAAATGAACTGCTCTCTCTCTACCGTTGTACAAAAACCGGAACCTACACCGTAGATACAGATTAACTGTCATGAATCTGTGCCAAGTAACATTAGTGCTTTTCATTTGATTGTATATATACATCATTAGATGATTTTATACATCATTCATAACCGAACGTTAATTCACTTTAAAAAAGTTATCCGATCTTCAATAAAAAACTTATCTAGAAAGTTTACCCAGAGTAACTGGTAAATGTGATCGCTTCGTAGTTATTTGGTTCCTGCTTATCGCTAGCTTTAGTAAAGTACGTAGGTCTGTGGTTACTATACGATAGGCCTGCGTTATATAGTTTCCTACTGTTTCATCCAATTCAATCTTACATTTCTCTTCTGTATATTGGTCTGATTCTGATACAGTAATCAAGAACAAAAATCCCGTCCACACTACGAACATTACAGACATCCCAGGACGAGAGCCCCTTGAACTCTGACCGCAAATCAATTTGAGCGCCATCTTCAAACTTTAAATATGTCTCCAAAACGTTTTAAAGGCCCTATTATAAATGCCTCCGATTGAAACGTTTGAAGGACGCTAGTCTCAGTTTCCAAGAAATTTATCTCCACAAGAGAAGAGTGATCGTTCAGAGTGATCAACGAAAATGGTGTGTACTTTCAATTTCAACTTAAACAAATATCTTAATGTAAATATCTTGTCAGGTTGTTAATGCGGTACCGCACACACTCAACATTTATTTTGATTTCACAGATAATATTCTGATTGTTTTCAAACATGATATCCCTTGTGCTAGTGCTTGCTGCAAATCCATTGTCAATGTCAATCTCGGTCACATGACCGTGTTTACCGGCGTCTATTATCGAGACCATAGCAACATTGTCGGCGAAGTTATTTTGAAACGCCTATTTTCTTTTTACCGCACTTATTTTCATTACAAAACCTTTATCACTGCAGGTCCATTTCGTAGGAACACTTATCCAGAAGAAATTTTCAAAGAAATCATGACAGGCATCTGTACTGTACTTTACAGTAGGCCTATTAGCCCGAGTATGTCTGCAAGGTGTCTACGACTAGTCTGTAGTGACACCGCAGATGTAGTAGGACGAGGAATAGTGATAAACAGGTTGGGCACAACGGCGCATATGGGTAATAATCCTGCATTTGGGTAACATCTTTGTATGTTATGGTTAAATGCACTTCGAATCTACTTTCACTATCCTATATAAAAAATCAAAATTTTGTACTTCACTATCTTTATTAAAAATCGCTATTTATATGGTTATTATAAACAAACTTTTGGTTGAACGTTTTTTCGTGTTTTGACATTTTCGTGATTTAAGATGTCCCGACTTTTCTAAGGCTTCAAAGGTCGTGAAATACTTTCAAAACCGAAAACTGTTCAACCAAAAGTTGTTTGTAATAACCAATAGATATGGCGATTTTCAATAACGTAAGTGAAGTACAAAATTTTGATTTTTTATATAGGATAGTGAAAGTAGATTTGAAGTGCATTCAACCATGACATACAAAGATGTTACCCAAATGCAGGATTATTACCCATATGCGCCGTTGTGCCAAACCTGATAAAGATAGTGCCGTCGCTGGGGCTCGAACCCGCAACCATTGGCTTTCCAGCCCGATGCTCTACCGCTGAGCTAAAGGGAAATTCCCTACAGCTGACGCTTGTAAGGCAACCTAATGAATCCACATCTTTTACACAGACATCTATCTGTCAAAATGTCTCTGGTGTTAAGAGCCAGAGGAAACCTGGGCTATAGACTTATGTGTGTGATTCAAAAAGCATGTCTAATAGGCTTACTATTGCAAAAATAAAACAAAATTTCTTTCATTTCATTTCCCGGCCATGTTCAAATGTGACAGATTTTTAGTGTACATGAGATTATGGTCAACTTCTAGCTTCATGTTGGAGGGAATTGCCCACACAATACTGAATGAATTGCGGAAAGCTGGGGGAAAACTTTATACATGTACTCTCATACCTGTTTCAAATGGTGTCGGTGGCCTGGCCCTCTCTATGGTGTCAGAAAGTTAGAACTTGGGTTGCAGTGGTGTTCAAGGGCGAACACATTAAAAAATGGTGATTCGGTAGTGAATGTGGCAGATTTTTGTTCTGATATATATAGTACATTCTTTATTTCCTCTTTTACAAGATATTAAAGTCGATCAATACAATCAATCAAAGCCTGTTCAGTTGTGCACACAAAAATTGTCTTGAAGATTGTTTAAAAAATTTGAAATTAAAAAACTCAAATAACATTTGGGAAGATACAGAAAGATCAATTATATTTGTGGCAGATAATAGCCACTCCTTTTACATAAAAAAAGGCAAATAAAAGTACAAACACATTTTGAATGAATCGATAAGCTAATAAGACTTTGAATAAATGGGTCCTGGTATTACTCTTTCATGAGTACAATAGGATAATCTCTGATGAAGCAGATGGTAAAAAGTTTGGCAACCACATAATTAATTCCTGAGTGGCTTTTGCAGGCAGCCTCCAAGGAAACCGTTCTGGGTGCAGCCAAGCAATTCATCTCCTACATCAACAAAAGTCCATCTCCATTTCATGGTAAATAATTAGGAAATATAGTTTGGATTTGTCTTTATCTTGCAAGGTATTATGTTTGTTTATGTGTATGTATATACTTCATATATATAGGTCTCATAAGTTATTATGATAGTATGATCCAATATGGGGACTGGAACCGAACAAACAAATGTTCGTTGGATGCATATTACTTAACTCGTTCACCCCTGAAATTTCATAATGAACTATTCCAACCTTTCAATTGGAGGAGTTCAAATGTGTCTTCAGGGGTGAATGAGGTAAATAGATATATTGGCAAGGAAGTAAAAGCAACAGTGCCGACAAAGAAAAAAATTCAGGGCAATCCATCCCTTTTACACATATTAATAAACATTTGTTGTACTACAAGTATTAAGTATTAAATTCTTGATGATAAGTTGTTAATTATTTTTGTAGCACATACATTTAGTTAAAGTATATAAATACTTGAATGATGTCTTCATAGAACTTGCCTTACTGCCTTATTTTGTGTCAACAGCTGTAGATGAGGTTTCTAAAATGCTGCTGAGTTCTGGCTTCCAAGAACTGCATGAGACTCAGGCATGGGACATTAAACCACAGCAAAAGGTGAGAAGGCATACTTTGAAATAGTACCTGGTAATGTTGTTTAAGTCTTACCAGTATTAAATATGCCTATAGATCGCAAGTTTCTAGGTATTATAGACATTTTGACTAACCCAAGGGACACTGTTGTTTAACATTCAGTAAGAGAAAGAGGAACAGTGATGTTGTTTCATACAGTTATATCTTTTGTAAATCAAGGAAATATGAGAATAAGGACTACCGGTACTGTGTCCTCATCAGTAGGCCACATATTGTTTAGTAAACGGGGATTTGATTTTAGGATACAGGATACCTTGTACATTATACCTATAGTTTGTGCTTAAGTAAATAGTTCCTTTTAAAAATAAAAATTACTTAGCATAACCTACCAAGTAATAATTCAGATTTACATGAGCATTATCACTGCATTTAATCCAGACCTTTAATTAAGTCAACAATTTAAAATCAACGAGGCCTAACTAATTATATTCATCATCACAAAAGATATTTGATAGATGTCTTGGTGACAATCTTGTGGGTCAGAATCATGTTGTATTGTGGTCATTTCTTTATTGAATATGAACTTGTTTTGCAGTATTTCCTTACCAGGAACAAGTCGACCATCATTGCGTTTGCTGTGGGTGGACAGTTTAAGCCAGGCAATGGATTCAGTGTAGTTGGAGCTCACACAGATAGTCCATGTCTGAAGGTATTAAATGCAGATTGATGAATATATTTATTTTAAACATGGATTCTTTGAAAACATAAGTTTTCATCTTTTTCAATAGACCAATTCCTAGAAGTATTTGTATTAAATTCCTTCAAATGTTATGTACCATATCAATTTAAGATACCCATGTTGCCCTAGACCCTTCATGGTCCCAAGATTTTGTAAATATATCATCCTCATTCCTATTGAAAACAAAACATTCAAACAGAATCTATTGTATATCTTGATATGAAGAATACTTCATGGCTGTACAATTCTGGTAGCCTGACACCTGGAGCTAGTAGAATTTATGTCAGGATAGGTGAACATTTTTGACATATTTATTTACATTGAAAATGTAGGTGAGCTGTTGGAATTTTTCAAAATCTGCCTGTTGACTGTAACTTCTCTGATACCGTTTGAAATAACGCTACTGATTTCAAGTACAGTATTAAACTACTGGTAACCTTTCCCAAATTTAGCTGATAAAACACTGTGACTAGGACAAACAGAGGAATGAATTCTATTGTTGTCTTGTTATCAGGTAAAACCAGATTCTAAGAAGAACAAGTCTGGATACCAGATGGTTGGTGTTGAGTGTTACGGAGGAGGTATCTGGCACACTTGGTTTGACCGAGACTTGACCGTTGCTGGACGTGTGCTTGTCAGGGTAAGTTTTTCTTACGTAAACCTACTGTAGTTATTTATCTCTCCTGAAAAGAAATGCCTGCAGGAAGCTTTACAATGATGCAGCATCTGTTGTGATCCGGCTGCCAGAGTAAACTCTTCCACTTTTGACTGATATACAATTACATTGACACAATGTTGGGTGGTAGCCTCTATGTGTTTATACAAGATTTCAAAATTTTCAATATTAATATATATATATATATGAAGACAGGGTGTTTGAAGATGATTTTATATTTTGATAGAACAAGGACAAGGTTGATCACCGACTTATCCATATTGAGCGTCCAATCTTACGTGTGCCCAACATCTGTATCCACCTGATGAGGGACCATAATGAGAAGTTTGGCCCCAATAAGGAATCCCATGTGTAAGTAATGTGACTTTGAGTACAGCAGAAAAACTAGGTAAATATTGTCCATATTAAGGCTGACTTGGTTATAGAGTTTTGTTTATGTTTATACAGAAACCAATGTGTAGTGGGCAAAATGTAAATGTTTTTCAAAAGTGATCTAAAGTGACTGTGGAGATCTATCTTTTTCATGGGAAAGCATTCAAATGCATATTTGTGTAAGAGATACATAAGACATAGGATTATTGTTGACTTCTATCTTTGCGCTTGAGGGCTGTTTGCAAGATTTACAAACCTGAACAAGAGGACCATATTTTCCTTGACTGATATTTCAAATCTATGTGAAAACTAACAGGTTTATGCAAAATGCTGTTATCCTATCTAAAGCAGTATAGATGTTGAGTAAAATTTTAAATCATCTAAAATGATATTATATAAACAGAGTTATTGAAAATATATCTCCAAACTTTTGTAGCATTAGAAATGTCACTCTAGAGACTCCGTGAACTGAAAGTGTATGACAGTTTTAGGTCACCGTAGTTACTCAGATTACTTATCATGATTGCCTTTTTCCATCATGATGCATTGTCCATAAACAACCGTACATTCAACTTCTCCTCAGAAACTGTCTGTCAGAATTTGATCAAACTTCATGGTAATCATCAGCTTATGGTAGAGATCAGATTTTACACTCATAAAGAGGCTGACTCCAAGGTGCTCAAAGGGGGTCTGAGGGCAGAACCATAACCAAAACCTTCACAAAATATTTCCTCTCAAACTTTCCAATGGAGTTTCACATATTTTTTAAATAATCATCCAAAGGTGATGAAGATCAGAATTTATACTCAAAAAGAGGCTGTCCAAGGGGCTCATAGAGGGACTAATGGCAAAACCTTCAAACAATTAACATCTCTGTAAATTAATAGTGGAGTTAAATCAGATTTTCATTAAATGATCCTTACATAATGGGATAAGACTCTATACTCAAACGAAACTGAATTATAGAAATACATGCATCTCTGCTTTAGTTAGATGTTTCAGATTAAATTTTTCCCTGATAATGTGAAACAATAATACATGTTATTAATATAAAAGAAAGCAAGTTTTCCTACAAATACAACATCCAAAAATATGTTGCTGTATCTGTTTGTGTTGGTTTTTTACTCAATGAAGACTTTCCAAAATGTATGTGCAAGTACATCTTTGGATGGCAGAGTTTACTGAAATTCGATCTTCAAGTCTTGTGCCCCACTACATACATGGTTATTGCCCTTTGTTTATTTTTGATACCCAAGTTTGTCCCGAGGTAGGAGACTGTATATTGCTGACAGTACTTTGCCTTGTTTCTCATTAATTATCTGATGTTTCTCTTACTTAAGTAGTGAAATTTCTTATGTAGGTGTCCAGTCCTGGCTACAGCTGTACAGGCAGAGCTCCAAGGGGATACTGGGATACCTCAGTCGGATGTTCCAGACTTCACTCCTCAGGTACATACTCTCTTGTGTACAGTAAAGTCTGTATTGAGAGACCACCTCTTTCAAAAGACGGTTTTTTAGTACTGTATACAGTAAAAGCTAATTAAACTGTCACCATTTTTGTAACGTAACTTTGTCATCTGTTATGACAGTAGTCTAGTGGTAGGATGCAAGGCTTGTGACCAAAGGGTTGCAGGTTTGAGTCACGCCACGACACTGTGTTGTATCTTTGAACAAGATACTTTACTCTGCTTGTTCCAGTCTACTCAGCTGATAATGAGTATGTGGTAGGGCAGTGCTTGAATTGTTGAATGCTAGCTGTGAGCGCCGAAATAGCAGGACCGGCTGTATGCTCCCCAGGGAGTTGAGAAAGATATTGGCTGGTTGCAAAGGCCTTATAACCACGGACAATAAATTGTGAGCCGCTTTGAGACGATCTACGAACAAGGTTTTGGTATAGCGGTATATAAGAACCTCAAATTATCATTATTTATCATTGTTGTTATGAGTGAGTTTGACATTACATAATGATATATATGTTAGTCAGGTAATCAGAAATAAGGTAAGAGAATCCTGCAAATCGTGGCAAATGAAATGAGAGGTATTATATCATTGTTACTCTGTAACTGTTGAATTTTACAGGGCTAAAGTTTTACAGCTTATTTAACGGTGCTAGAACGTTCGCAGGTACATAGATGCAATTAATTGTTATTACGTTAGCTATTCAATTCATGATAGTAATTTAAGTGGGTAATTTCATGCTTTGATATCATAAAATAAATATAGCGTAAATAAACATACAGCAAGTCCAACGATATTGTATATAACATACTGTATGACTTAAAATTGACATGGATTACTGACTCCTCCCACATACGTTGTTTGATGATATCACAGAAAATCTTCAGCATAAGCATCAACTCAACAAATTACCATGTATTTTTTTGAGGTCACATAATTTGGTAGAATTCTAGGCCGTAATTTTAAAGTAATAAAAAAAATCAAAGTAATCTAATCCAACAGTATTGACTATGAAACAGAGCAAAGTTTAAGACTATGTAGGATGATATATTTGTATTGTGGTATTGTTGTGTGATACACAGCTTATTTATTTACTGTAAAAGTCATTCAACCTCTCGATACATTACCTTATCAGTTTCTGAACTGTTGTTAAATTCATTTTCGTTTCAAAGGTGACGAAGAAGAAAAATAAAGCGGATAAAAAAATGTTGGCTTTTTACATTATTCTCATCTGCCTGATAAAGATACAATGAAACAATATACAGGTACTTAGAACAGCAAGTTTCTGTTATTTGTGTTGAACAGTGCCTTAAACACCAGCCATTACTCGTAAAATTGATCTGTGATGAACTCAGGATCCAGCCAGAACAAATGTTGGATTTTGAGCTCTGCCTTGCCGACACACAACCAGCTGTAAGTTACATGTTATAGAACAGCCAGAAATGATGATCATCTCATCAATATTATTCAGAAAATGTATATAACTATGTAAGCTTATGATAAACTTGCATACAGTTATTATTTATTTGAAATAATAAATGTTGGTTATTACCAATCTGTNACATATTTCAACAACAAAAATAAATACTGTAGACTCAGGTGACCGTTAAGGCCCATGGGCCTCTTGTTTTTCTTAATTTAGCTTTTGCAATGTATGTGAAAAATAATGAAATTAAAGAATTGTTACACATCTATGTATATATTTTGTTTTCATTGTACATGTACCAGTGAATAGCTAATATAAACAGGAATTACATAAATTGTGTTCAAAGCAAGATAAAGCAAGGAGTATGTATATTTCTTCCTAAAACAAGTACAATGGTAAGGTTTTAAATCATATAATGCTCATTTTCACAGGCTATCGGTGGAATCCTTGAAGAGTTCATTTTTGCACCTAGACTGGATAATCTTCTGAATGCATACTGTGCCACTGAGGTAATAATATCCAAAACTTCTGAACTTCAAAGATTAGTGTTTTTCTGAATTGCTAATTTATGAACATTTTCCTTCTCCCAATCCCCCTCAGTCCAGCATTGTGTGGCTGTGGTTGAACTGTATTTTATTAAAAACAAATTAAGCATTATTGGATGTATATACAATGTTATTTGTACATGTATTACATAATTTTCAGCTGTTATTACTCATTTTTAGGCTTTGATTGAGTCATGCAAGGGAAACAGCCTGAGTCAAGACCCAAACATCCGCCTCATCTGTCTGTTTGACAATGAAGAGGTAAGATGCTCACATCACTCCTACAATAGTATGACTAGTGGAAGGCAGGCCCAAGGCAGGCCTAACATTTAATAAGGAGCATTATAACAATGGTTTTTATCCACTTTCAGTTATTGTTAAAAATAGCACATTGACCCAAATTTCATGTCTTTTGCATAAACAGTATAATCTTGTTTGATGAGACAGGATGTCCTTAAAGTCAGGTGTTGGTAGAGTCAAGATGCTCTTTACCTCATAAAATTGTGCTTACAGGCCACCAAACTAAACATTCTTCCATAGCTATTGAGTGTTAAGTCTATATCATTTCCAACTTCTTAAGTTTCACATTTAATTTACTTAACCAGCTTGAGAGCACATTCTGAAATATATATCTGAAGCTTCATTGATTGAGGAATATCGCTCCCAATTTTACAGTTACACCACAAGCTGTAGTAGAAAACTGATATCTATTTATAACTTGGCAATGCCTTTCTTATTTTTAGGTGGGCTCCCAGAGTGCCCAGGGTGCAGCATCCACCCTGCAGGAGCTTGTCCTCCGCCGCCTGAGTGCCGGGGGGAGCAGCACAGCCTTTGAAGAGTCAATGCCCAAGTCCTACATGCTGAGCGTAGACCAAGCTCATGCAGTCCATCCCAACTACTCGTAAGTCACTGTTGAGGAATTTGAACATTTACCATAAATATCAACACAAAATCTCTACATGTTTTATGATATCATTTTTTAGCTCACCTGGTCCAAAGGACCATGGTGAGCTTATGCCATACCGCAGCGTCCGTCTGTCAACTTTTCCTTTAAAACACTACTAGTCCTGAACGGCCAAATAAATTTTGACTAAATTTGGTCTGGAGCATCCTAAGGTCAAGATGACTCAATTTTTTATAAATGGTGGGTGGCCCCCCCCCCCTTGGGGCAGAGGGCGGGGCCCTATAGCAATAGAGGTAAAACCTTTAAAATCCTTCTTCTACCGTAGGGATTAAGGGATTTTATCCTAATTTAGTCTGGAGCATCCTTGGGCCAGTGGGACTCAATTTTGTATAAACTGTTGGTCAGGCCCCCAGTGGCCTGAGGGGCGGGGCCCAATAGGGGAAATAGAGGTAAAACCCTTTAAAATCCTTCTTCTACCATAGGAATTAAGGGATTAAGGGATTTTATCCTAATTTAGTCTGGAGCATCCTTGGGCCAGCGGGACTCAATTTTGTATAAACTGTCGGTCAGGCCCCCAGTGGCCTGAGGGGCGGGGGCCAATAGGGGAAATATAGCAAATTTTTTAAAATCCTTCTTCTTCTGTAGGAATGAAAGGATTTGTTCCATATTTAGCCTGAAGCATCCATGGGCAAAAGGGACTCAATTTTGTATAAACAGTGAGTGTGGCCCCTTTTGGGCCAGAAGGGAGGGGCCCAATAGGGGAATCATAGCAAATTCTTCAAAAATCCTTCTCCTTCTTTAGGAATGACAGGATTTTGTTCAAATTTGGTATAAAGCATCGTTTGGTGAAGGGGAACCAATTTTGTATAAACGGTGGGTATGATCCCCATATGGGCATAGGGGCGGGGCTGTTTTTGAAAAAAAAATTCGCTATATCTCAAGTACTGGATGGATCTTTCTGAAATTTCATATGCACTTACAGCCCCTACAATGGAGTGATATATCTTTACTTCATACCAATTATTTCAAACATATTCAGGTGAGCGATACAGGCCCTCTGGGCCTCTTGTTTAATACTAGCATATTTCCTTTTTATTTAACAAATTCTTTCTCATTAAATGTAAAGCATTTAAGTTGTATGTAAAATTCATACGTGAAATATAAAAAAAAAAAAGCAGTAGCCTTCAGAAGTATAATTTGGGAGTCAGCACTTTTTTAAGAATAAATTTCTACAATTTTGTGATAATTAAAATATAATGAATAATAAAACTGATTTTAGAGACAAACATGAGAGTAACCACCAGCCAGGATTACACAAGGTCAGTAGTGTCTTACCAGTATACACCAGATAAACACTTATAAACCTTTTTTTCACTAAGAATATTCATCCGTTCAAACACATTAGCCTTGTTACTAGATGGTCACAAATATATGGAATCCTCACCCAGAAATTAAAGACATAGTTTGAGGTCAAATGTCAGTGACCTCAAATAGATATCTCTGCCTGTTTTAGCAGTAGTAGTATTTTTTATTAAGCTTTATTCATACAAAGTGAAACTAGTCAGATAAACTTGGATCAACTAACCTTCCTTGCAAAAAAAAGGCTTAATATGGTAGGCTGTGAGATTGGCTGTTTATTAAAAACTTCAGACTTTGAAGATAGAGTTTGGGAATTTGAACATTTACCATAAATATCAACACAAAATCTCTACATGTTTTATAATATCATTTTTTTAATACTAGCATATTTCCTTTTTACTTAACAATTTCTTTCTCATTAAATGTAAAGCATTTAAATTGTATGTAAATTTTAAACGTGAAATATCAACAACAAAAAAAGGAGGAGCCTTCAGAAGTATAATTTGTCATTATCTTATGAGCTACTGATTTTGTTTAGATGACATTGACTCACTTGTATGTCATTTCATGTCTACAATCAGATTTTAAATGTTAAATTTACTGTAAGATATCTATGTCTATCTATGTCTATGAGGTTTCATTTCCCTCCAATGTTTTATGTTGTTATGCCCTACTACATTGTACAACATAAACAATACACCTGTTGATTTCCTCACCGTTTTTTGACAGGGATATGTTGTGAAGTTCAACGCTAACCAGCGTTACGCGACCACAGCCATCACTACTGCTATCTTGAGAGAGGTGGCCAAGACTGCTGGTGTGCCACTACAGGTAGGTAAACTCAGGGCCACGGAAAGTTGCAGATGAATAACATGGAACACGATATAGGTGTTGGTTTTCCCTCACTGTTGGCATCCAATTGGTGTAACCTGTAATGGTGTCACAGGTATCGCTAATTTTGTAATGCCTTGCGACAGCATCAGCATCCTATGTGAGATTTTGAATGATTTCATAAAATTGATAACATTGTGATGAATTTTGATGAGGATGTATATTACTTGGTGCTCAGGTAACAAGCTCAAGTTGAATGTTTGGCTCGATCTATAGATATTTAAGGTGCATGCAGCAATCAGATTTGTTAATAGTATCCATTTAATACTTGATATATTTTTAATCTTGGTGAGGAAACATATTGACCATGCCCAGCTCAAGTTTAATGTTTGGCATAGTTTGTGCAATTTTAATACTTGCTATAATCTTCTAGGTTAGTGTGTTTTGATGATATCTATCAAAATCAGGAAAATCCTAGTAAGCATACATATTACCCAAGTACCTCAATTAATTTCAGGGAGGATACATATTACCAAGAAAAGTTCAATGTTCAGCACATATTTAATGAGTATTTCAATATCCGAAAAATTTGAGCAAATGACTAAAAGCGGTTTTATTTAGCAATTTTGCTTTTTCGTGATCAATTATAGGTACTACCATCCTCTTTACTTCATGGGTTACGCTCACTTTCGCTCTCTGCACCCCTGGAATATGTCATATCAAAATTGAAGACACACTGCTAGCTATTTGATTGGTGTCCGGTAAAAAAAACCTGATCAATCACTAGGCTGATACTTGTCCTTTGAAGATTACAGAGGAGTGACGCCTGACTTCAAAGCCAGTAAGTTTTACCGTTACGCAACCGCGAGATTCTTTTGATGTATATCAAAGGATCACACTAGCCTTCTTGTCTCATCCACAAAGCGGTGCACACTGAGAGCCTTCAATTTTGCTATGGCATATTCCAGGGGTGCAGAGAGTGAAAGTGAGCGTAACCCCTGGATATCGAGGATGAGGCACTACATACAAAGCCATGAAATTTCAGTTGTATTTTACAGATTGTAACAGGATTAGTTTATATTTACAACATAGTAAGGTAACATCAAGTTCTACACCTGATTAAACTTTGGCAGACATCGGATAAGGTCAAGGGTAACATTTGTCAACCTTTGAAGTTTAGTGTTTTTGTGCCAAGTATGCGGGAGTGAGGGGTATATTTAAGTAAGGCCCACTCACTTGTGTTTATTTTATTATCTTTTTCTTAAATGATTATATAACAGGGTACTGCTAACTTTTTCTCTTGTGCCAGGACTTTGTGGTGAAAAATGACTCGCCTTGTGGTTCTACCATTGGTCCGATCATGTCTGCCAAGCTAGGGATGCCAACCATTGATATTGGGGCGCCTCAGCTTAGCATGCACTCCATCCGTGAGATGTGCTGTACCTCCAGTATCAACCAGGGTATCAAGCTATTCCAGGTATTTATTACATACTGATAAATACAGGTTTTTTGTATATGCGATACGACACAATTGCTCTAACCCATATCAGCCCTCGCCATATCACACCCCAAAACCCGTATCAGCCCGCAAAACCCATATCAGACCACTAATGGATTTTTTTTCGTTTTTCAATATTTCAAAAAGAAAATTAAATCATAAGATAGTAGTTTTTATTAGTAAATATGTAATAAACAGAATAAAGCACGCCTTTTTCCATATCACACCAAGTATCAACCCTCGACCAATATCAGCCCTCGGGCCTTCGGCCCTTGGGCTGATATTGCAGTCTCTGGTTGATACTGGGTGTGATATGGAAAAAGACATGTATTATTCTCTATGTACACTCGTTATACCTCCAACATGTCCTCATTTCTTTTCCTTCTTTCTCCTTTATTTTCTTCCCTAAAATTCTCTCCGTTTCCCTCCCCATATGGTTTCTCCCTTTTCCTTTCCTCCGCCTTTATATTTCCCTCACTCAAGTGCTAAACTATACACTTATACCCATATACCCAATTAAGTAGAGAGGGTGTATGTTTATCACTTTGTCAGTGTTTCGGTGTGTGTGTGTTCAAAGTTTTTAACAAAAAGGTTGTGTATAAGATATCTCATAAACTCCTAAACAGATTTAATTTACATTGATGCCATTGTAAAATTACATAAAGCTCTACATTTGATTAGATTTTAACAGTCCAGGTGTAATGGTCAAAGTTACACTTGACCACTTTTGGAGAAAAAACTTGTGTAGAAAATATCTCGTGAACCCTGTGGATTTAGTTTGTATTTCGGTCATTTTTGAGTACCAGTCTCAAAATTAGATTAAGTTAGGTAAAATCACACAAGAATATCTTCTAGGGGTTAGTGTTAAAAGCATATGCCTTGGAAAATCTTCATATAAAAAAATATTACTATCTGACTAAAATCTGTTGGTTTTTTTTATACGCCCATCAAATTTGACGGGAGTATTATGGTATGGCGTCGTCCGTCCGGCGTAAACTTTTATTTGTCCGGCAATCTCCTCCTTCATTATTCAACTGATCTCTTTGAAACTTAGTAGGCTAAATAATCATGATATGTTGTTGTGTTCACTTGAAAAGAATTTGATTCAACAATTTTTGCAAAAGTTATTGCCCTTTGTTTATTTCAGTATTTGATTTTTTGTCCAGAGATTTTCTCCTACATTCACTTGCCCATGCCATGCTGCGGTGTCCCTCGTTCGTCCGCCGTCTGTCAATTTTTCCTAAAAATCACTACAAGTCATAAACGACAGAGCATATTTTGACCAAATTTTGTCAGAAGTATCCTTAGGGTAAAGGGGAACACAATTTGTATAAACCGTGGGTCTGGCCCCCCAAGGGGCGTGAGCAGCGGGCCCAATAGGGAAAACATAGCAAATTCTTTAAACTCTTTCTTATTCTGTAGGAATGAAAGGATTTGTTCCATATTTAGTTGGAAGCATCCTTCGGTGAAGGGGAACAAATTTTGTATAAACCGTGGGTCTGGCCCCTGAGGGGCGTGGCCCAATAGGGGAAATATAGCAAATTCTTTAAAATTCTTCTTCTTTTATAGGAATGAAAGGATTTGTTCCATATTTGGTCTGAAGCATCCTTGGGTAAAGGGGAACCAATTTTGTATAAACCGTGGGTCTGGCCCCCCAAGGGGCGTGAGCAGCGGGCCCAATAGGGAAAACATAGCAAATTCTTTAAACTCTTTCTTCTTCTGTAGGAATGAAAGGATTTGTTCCATATTTTTATTCTGAAGCATCCTTCGGTGAAGGGGAACAAATTTTATATAAACCGTGGGTCTGGCCCCTGAGGGGCGTGCCCCAATAGGGGAAATATAGCAAATTCTTTAAAATCCTTCTTCTTCTGCAGGAATGAAAGGATTTGTTCCATATTTGGTCTGAAGCATCCTTGGGTAAAGGGGAACCAATTTTGTATAAACCGTGGGTCTGGCCCCCCAAGGGGCTTGAGCAGCGGGGCCGTATAGAGGAAACATTGCAAATTCTTTAAACTCCTTCTACTTCTGTAGGAATGAAAGAATTTGTTCCATATTTGGTCTGAAGCATCTTTCGGTGAAGGGGAACCAATTTTGTATCAGCCGTGGGTCTGGCCCCACTGGGGCCTGAGGGCCTGGGCCAAATAGTGGAAACATAGCAAATTCTTTAAACTCCTTCTACTTCTGTAGGAATGAAAGGATTTGTTCCATATTTAGTCTGAAGCATCCTTTGGTGAAGAGGAACCAATTTTGTATAAACCGTGGGTCTGGCCCCCAGGGGCCTGACGGGCAGGGCCAAAAGGGGGCAATTGGGCTATATTAATTTAAGCGACCTCTTCTCTGGAACTAAGAAATGGATATCAACCATATTTGACTGGAAGCATCCCTAGGTGGTGGGGATTCAAAATTGTACATGTCATATGGTTGGGTTGACCACCCAGGGGGCTGAGGGGCAAGACCAAAAGGGGGCAGTTTGGCTATATTGCTATAAACGACTTCTTCTGTAGAATTATGGCATGGATATCGATCATATTTGGTCAGAAGCATTCATGGGAGGCAGGGATTCAAAATTGTACAAATGGTGGGGCTGACAACAACCCTTGGGATCTAGTTTCTGAGTCACAGCTTGGAAACAGTTAAGATCCCCACCCCATAACCATACATTAGATTGCGGGGCATGAAAATACAGACATACTAAAAGAATTGGCAGTGGGATCTGGCATACTCCCTTGGATCTCATTTGGAGAATATTTTGCAATGATTGCTTAGATATCAAGGTGCCTCTTGTTTATAGCATGTCAGCTAACCAGCTTAGAATGATGCAGATCTTATTTCAATATAAGAAAGTATATAACACTATATGGCATTCGACGAGCGCATATTGTTCCGCCCTGCGGTACTCTTGTTGAAGTAATGACTTGATTAATTTTCTTTTTTTTTAGGGATTTTTTGAGAACTATCCTCGGGTGTTTTCCTCAATGAACATGTAATCCAGGCCTGGAAGATAGGGATCCATCAGTCAGGCAGCAAAGTTCAACAAGATCAAGGGAGATAACACCACTCGTACTAAAGAGCAAATTGTTCTGGTGACTTTGACCTGTGATATAAACATTCAAGGAATATTTTTGAATGCATCATATATATTTTCTATCGCTTATAAAGGCATGCAGACCTTCCTATTCTATCCAACCCTAGTGATACCTACATAGGGCTGATGTAGTGGTTGGAATTGGAGGGTTGCTTTTCTGTGCTATTTCTTGTTGTGATGTGTTTTGTAGGAGAGGATGTTGATGTGAATGTAGGTAATGTTCATCTTCATTTACTGTTTGTTTGGAATCAGATTAAGTGTACGTGATTTTGTTAACATTTAGTATTATCATGTCAAAGTAGAAATTATTGAGGCAAATCGGCATAATATTGAGCAATACACTGAATAGTTATTTTCATTTGACAATCTTCTGAAACATCAGATATTTATTATTTTTAATTTATATACATTTAATGTGATCTTGTATATCTAGCGAATTTGATATATTTTAACTTTGTTGAGTTCAGTCTATCTGAAAGCTATGAGTAGATTGATCATTCAGTAGTGAATGTTTAACAGTCAAGAACATATATAATATATTTATATTGCAAATCAGGGAAATCTTTACGGTTAGATTAAGTATAAGAACAAAAGTCCTAAACGTTGAATATATCCATTTGGATACTGAATGATTTGTTTTGCCACACTTTCGTAAATAAACAGCAATTTATTGGTAGTTTGGCTTTCGTTTTCTTTTTTTGTCATTGACTCTAAAGGCTGATTTTATTAGCTCACCTGTCCAAGTAAGCTTATGCTAGTTTACATGACTGCTAGAACAGAACTGCTGAAGTGATTTCGATTTGCATCCGTGGACCAGTTTTTAGTGCTTTTCAATAAAGAAAAGAGTTACATGGGTACTGTTAGAATAGTAATATCATTACAATGACTGAATGGAATACACATCTGGGCTACAGACAAAAGATGCATTAGAAATGAAGACACGATAATAACCAAGGAAGATACACAAACAATGAAAGTAAGGAGGGAGCTGGAATGAGAGATTGTACTGGAAAGGTGGAGAAATCAAAGGACCAGGAATAAGAACAGCAGGCAGAGGGAGAAGAGGCAACAAATAGTTTGGAAACAGAGACTAGAGATAAAAGAGTTAGAGAGGTCACTGACTGAGAACTTATTTAATTTGTTTAAAGGCACATGTGTGAGCACCATGAAAATATCAATAATTGAAAAAGAAAGACAAAATGACCAATGAGGAAGAAGATGAGTTGGTCAAATTCAGACCGACGTAAGTGTAGCTAGATAAAGAGGACATGGTTAAGATCCTGATAAACGTTCTTACCTAAAGAATGCACTGCAAAATTCCCTGCCATCAGAACATAAGAAGGAACCCCAAAACAAGAAATAAAGAATCAGGAAGTCAGCGGTGGGGCGAATCAAATAGGTATCGGAGGTAATCATAAGATCACTTTTGGGACGTGAAAGTGCCACAAGTAAAAAGTAGAATGATGGATATAGGAAATATATTATTAAATTTTGAATAATGACAATTATTATGACCAATTCCAGCCGGTCACCTCTGATTATCATGAGATGACTGAACACGAATCAAGCAAAATGCAAATAAATGAACTAATGCCACTGATGATAGTTTGGGCATACTCACCTCCTAGAATTCTTGAACAAATCTTAATAGAAACAGCCACAAGAAACCGGAGAGTCATATGAGATGGTTAATAAAAGTAGACACCCTTAGTAGTACTAAGCGTGATGGACACGCCTATATGAGAGGGAGTGAAACTCTGCCGAAAACAGCTGTACTACAGCTTCAAGCTCAATTTGGACGTGTGCGACCTCTTCCTAAATAAGGCAAGTGACGGTGTACTTGGTAAAAACTATCAAAGCTATCTGCTGTTCGACTTCGTATTCCAGATTACTTAATAAAAAATAAAGCTGAGAAACGAAATAACAACAGAGGAAACTATGAGAAGATCAAGCAAAATTTGGATATAGATCGAGACTCGTATACACAGGCAATGCATTCATACAACTATGACAGTTTTTCCCCCAAGAAAAGGACGTACCTAACAACCGGTGGAAGCATGGTGCAGTGTTATTCATCATTGGCGTACTGTAACTATTACCAAGCCTTACAGGCGCAACCACACGTGTGAGAACAACAAAACAGCAAGGAGACAGAATCGCCTAGCAGACTGTTTGTTCTTGTTTTTACAGATCTAGAGGAACTCGACGTTTTAATCCCGCAACTACCAAAAGAAAGGTTGTCGGTGAAACTTAGCATACGTGAAGATAGCAGAACAGGATATATCTAAAACAAGAACAATATTATCTCAAACAAACCACAAGGATCAGACAAAACTCTATTTATAAAAATACATCAATCGTTTTTCTCCAGTCAATCACTTGACCAATCTGAAGAAACAAGAAACACGACTGGGTCTCCACCAATTTTAAGGAAGGATACGATCTATAAATTTACTTATCACTCGAGTGATAAGCTTTATAGACCAAACTGGATGATAATCATCCTCGATACTCCAGGGGTTACGCTGATGTTTTCTCTCTGCACCCATGGAATATGTCATAGCAAAATCTAAGGCTCGGTGTGCGCCACCCTAGACATCTCGGTCTCGTAAAGGGACAATTGACGGTCTCTAAGTCGGGTGTCACGCCTCTTTAACATTCAGAGGACAGGTATCAGCGTAGCCAATCACATAGCTAGCCGTGTGCCTTAAATTTGCTATGACATATTCCAGGGGTGCAGAGAGCGAAAGTGAGCGTAACCACTTGGGTATCAAGGATAGATGAATAGTATAGCAGGCTTACTGCTTCGTTTTATTGTCCCGAATTTTCACATTGCACAAGGAGGTGAAATGCCAACAAGTTGTGACTATGACATAATTAAGCAAAAATTAAGTGATTATTTGGTGGGAAATGATAGTTGTGTGCTAATTCGTGTTTCTTTAACAAAGGAAAGCAAATCGTGAATATTTCGTGGAATGCAAGTCAAGCACGAAGACAAAAAAGCTGTCAGAACAGCATGGATCTCCTATTCGAAAAACAGTTCATTCTAAAAAGGTTGAAACAATAGCGTTTGACTTAAGCTTCGTAAAACAAAACAAAACATACCAAATATCACCATTTTGGTAGAACATTTGATTGAATTTTTTTTGTGATTTTCATCATTTGCCGATAAAAAAAAATAGAACGACTGACCCCTTGGGAACTTCCATGCCAAATAACAGCAAGTACATCTGCGGAAGTACATTACAGTGTGAATTTCAACACTTATGCAATAAACTTTAATCTGGAAAGGTTTGCAAGAGGCATTACGCATAAGCAAGCTAAAGTTTGCTGTTATATATAATTATATAGGCATCGAAGAGTATTTTATGAATCACTTTGCCCTTATGAACTTCCCAAGTCCATGCTTAATGTGTACGAATTCCACGGTGGTTTAAGTTTAAGCAAAGGATACGAAAATTGAAGATATAATGCTGCGTTTGGTAGACAGCCAATGTATCTGATACAAAATATTCTTCTTTAAAAACAAGTGTTCTGGAACAGTGTGCGAACATGAAACAAATGAAAAAAAATGTCACAACTCGTGATTTTTGTTTCAATGTCATTGTAATTTTCAGGTCAATATATGTTAAAGCGCAGTACGTGATTCTCAACTAGGATTGTACGTTAACAGAAGAAGAAGCAACGATATCACATATCAAAATCCTTTTTCTGACAAGTTGAGTCGAGGAATGATGGTGTGGTTTCATGATGTTCATGTCTGATGAAATTATTCTATCAGATCCACTTTGATTTAGGTGAGGTGACAAATATCTATAATGCAAAGGAATTCAGTTAAACTAAGGTTTCATCCTCGTCTGACGAGTCTGGATCGACCGGAGGTGTTGGTTCAGGCCCACTATCATACTCTCGTAGTTCATGATCTGTAACGTGCCAGGAATCTACCTCCAAAAACTTGGCAAACCTGTAAACACAAGCAATTGGTTTTTTATCTTATTTTTAGTGATAATGAATTGACTCAAAAAACTGAACAATCAGAGGTAAAGGTGACCGTCGTAGACATCGAATCAGCCTGAAAAATTACAAGCTTAGTCAGATGAAAATTTAAGTTTCGTTTGTTGCTTAGAACAACTAATTTGTGTCCTTTTAACAGTGTCTCGATGTAATTGCTATGACTTATTTCAGAACAGCCCTTGGTAACCTTTTAGTTTGTCTGTGTGTCGTTTTGCATTGTTCACACATACAGTTTACTTGCATTTGTCCTGAATATAAAGTCCCGCTTAAGAAGAACAAACCAAATAATAAGAAAAAAACAATTTCGGGGCAATTTCGAAAAGTACTTCGTGCCAGGGCCCGTATTCATGAAACGATTCTCCATTTATATCTGGAACAAGAAATTGAGCTTGAACACAAAATCTATGCTTAAGCATGAAAACGGTTTTATGAATACGAGCCCTGGTAAGTCATAGAACCATTTTGTTTTTATCACTATTGAATTCAGATCGTACTTCATGGCTAATACAAGACAGCAAAATAATACTCTGTATGACTTCTGTAAGAAAGGGGGAGGGGTGTGGAGTTTGTTTTGTTGCGAATGAATGGCAAATAAAATCTTCACCGTTGTCGGTTAATGAGTGGTTCAATGGTTGGCATTATTTCCAGACTTACGTCTAGCAATGGTGCTATAAAATATTACCGAGAACGAACATATAAAATGGGAATCAATCTCATGAAGACGACTTTTGTCCTGATTAACAATTTACATTAAAGAATATTAATGACAGGAAAGGTGTATGTGTACAGATTCTTACTTTAAAGGTGTGGACAGGTGACTGACGACCTTCCATGTATCACATTTAGGACTCTGACAGAAGCTGCGGAGCTCCTCTAGTGCCTTTGTGGTTTCCTCGTTGGTCTGTTTGATGTACTCGTCTTCCGTCAGGAACTTACGCTTCGATGTGAAAAACTTAAACCTGAATCCAGTGATGAATGATGTCAAGTTTATTCATGTTAAAAAGTCCGCAGTATGATATTGTACATTTAAAATTAGTAGTAAATACAGTATGTAACGCATAAATGATCTACGCCACACACCTGTCTCGTCCTTCGCGGACTCGTCGTTTAGGGGCTTACTGGTCGAAATCTAAATTGGTGTAAACTACGGTTGAAACAGAAGGCTAGGTGCGTAAACCCTTAATTGTATAAAATTTCAATATTAGTGAAGTTCTACAAATCTAAAAACCTATAAAGTCTTCAATGTCATAGTTATTTTGCTACCTTCTTTTTCACAAGAGTCTGAAATGATCGTTTGAAAAGATAAGTGAAGGAACTAAAGTACGGGGAAAAGTCATAATTATAAGAAAAGAAAGCTACAGTGCGGGGGAAGAAAAGACATCAATATTAGTATAAAGTGTCGGTTCCTCATCCCTGTCCTCTTACCACTAATATCATTATTTTAGTAGCATTTTTGACTTCTCATCAAAAACCGCAACACCGATTTCAAGAATTGTTTGCAGGAATTGTCAATGGCCAACACCAACAAACAACATCGACATAATTTGAAAAAGTACATCTACATAATCTCAGAATATGTTAAATGTTTGAGTAGGAAAGTCGTCAACTAACCTGAGATAGTATGTGAATCTATTCATGTACCATCCTTTTGGAATATTATAGAGTGCTAGTAAGTGAACAATAATGATCACAGATAACTCAGGTAACTGCGTCCCATGGTAAATAAGAATGAGGGAAACCAATTGTATAAACCACTGTATGAGGTTAAGGCTGCGGGTATCTGTCACTGGACCGTATCTGTAGCAGGCACAGAAACTTATGAGACCCGCTAAGATGACATAGCCAAGGATGTATTGCCAATATTGGATCAGCTTGCTTGTGATTGGGTCAAACACCTGTTTCATAAAATAGGTCCAGAACCGGAATTGCGACGATATGGCAGCTGCAATCATGATAAAGCTGGCCGTTTGAAGGCTCTGTACCACAGTATCGTTTAATTTTATTAGGTAAAAACTTATAAATATTTTAAAATGTTAAATTTACTAATTATCCATTTATATAACATTATACTAGAATTCTGTTTTATGGTCTTTGAATTTACCTGCTCAAACTGTCTTCTAAGAAAAATCAAGAGAAAAACAATGGAAGCCATTACGCCTATAGCTACACCTGTATCTGTTATTGAAACACAGGTAAACAATGGACGTCATTTCACTGATGGTTACACCTGTACTGTAGTGTAGGTATCTGTTACTGTAACACAGGTAAACGATGGACGTCATTACACTAGTAGATGAATTTTAAGGGTCCCAATTCGTCTCTTTCATCCCTTTCGTCCCTTTTCGTCCCTTTTCGTCCCTTTCGTCCCTTTCGTCCCTTTTCGTCCGATTTTCGTCCCTTTCGTCCCTTTTCGTTCCTTTTCGTCCCTCTCATCCATCTTTCGTCCCTTTTCGTCCCTTTTCGTCCCTTTCGTCCCTTTTCGTCCTTTTCGTCCCTTTCGTCCCTTTTGCCCCCCACGACTTTCGACCCTTCATCCGAAACGGATGAATTTCGGCCATGTGAGAAGTACTATATAAAGCAGCATTTATTACCAGCTAGCAGTCGACTCATGGCACAGGCACACATCGACCACGTCAAGAGGGAAGACATTATTGTCAGTGAGGACACATCTAAAAAGATAGTCTGTCGTTTAGGATTGACTCAAGAATTCATCGTGAAGAAAGTGAAAGGTGAGATCAAGATTTATATCAAAGACCGGCAAAAGTATGTTTGACAGAAACCTTGTTTAAAAAACTACTTTTCTTATCCGAAAGCCTACAGTGCGTTTGCTCCTTTATGGAAAGTTGAAATGTCCTGTGAAACTGATTGCGTTCGACACATCACAAACGTAATACAACCACGTCATCCATCGTTAGGTAAGTGCTGCAATCGCGTGGATACGTTTATACATTGGTCTAAACATCATCCTCATTCTCCATATCAACTTGCCAGTAACGGATTTTTCTATACGGGTATTGAAGACTGTGTGACGTGTTTTATGTGTGGTGCTTCATTAAAACATTGGAACTATTTCGACGATATCAAAACAGAGCACATAAGGTGGTCGAAAGATTGTCTTTTTCAACACATGTTATTTGTTTTATAAACATAGGAGGTGTAAGTTTGTATTACGACGGCTTCTCTACTTTGTAATTCGTATTTAATGAACATATAGGAGTTTTTTTCGTGATGGAGTTAAACACAGATCTGTTTGGCGAAAGACTTCAAAACTTTTTAATTGGAGAAATTGAAGAAAAAGTCTATCGGAGACTACTGAAAAATCTGTTGTTTCTCTCTTATGCATACGCTGTAAAATCAAAAATAACAGAACTATTCGTATGTTTAGGCTGCAAGAATCGTCGAGGTAGTCAACATGAACATGAATGTCTGATGTATTCCAGTGCTGTTGTTATAGACTTACATTTTGACGAAGCATTGACCAATATAAATCATCTAGAAGTGGAAAAGACCTGGCGTGAATTTGCCATACAGTCGTGTATACTTTCAGGCACATTACAACGTCTGATGCAAGACGAACGTTTGAGGGATGAGAATTACGTGAAACATAGCTACAGCGAAAAGATAAAGGATTACGTAAAGAAAATCGGTGAAGTTTAGACATATCTATTTATTTGACTTACAGAGAGTTGACGTATAATGCATTATGAATGGTGATCAGTATGTAGAAATTGATGATGATGGTGATCAGCTTTCCGTAATCGTTGAAGAAAACGAGTGACGTCATAGGTACATTTGCCTCATCTGTGTGCTATGGGGAAAACTACTCTGACAGAGGTGAGAAACGACTAGTGTAATGACGGAATTATTGTAGACAAACACGTAACACAATGGGTAAGAATAATAGAAATGTAACTATTTATTCTACTTATAGATGGAGCTTATACCCGAATATCCAGTCCACCATCACATGACAAGCTGTATCGATCGACTGCTGTCATTTTCTCAGTGGGTTTACAAACTTCGTCAGACTCCTTATCAGCTAGCATGTGACGGATTTGTTCACGAAGGTGTCAGTGATTACGTTACCTGCTACAAGTGTGGGAAAACACTGAACTATTGGAAGCATAACAACTTTTCTGCGGAGTGTCGTGATCGTCATTGTGCTTTACCTTACCCACCCAGTTCTGACAGGAAATATCGACGAAATGAATGGTGCTCTTCTTGATGAGAATTCCCTAGAATCCATCTGGATGCACAACTTATTGAAACTGACATATGCAAGCCAAGTTCGAGAAATAGTAAGCGAGAGACAATGTGATATAAATGATGCATTTATTCATGTGGATGACATTAGAGTGATTCGTGACTTTATTCGAGAAACTGTTCAATTAAAGATAGAAAGAGGCGCTAGAAATGCTTTCATATCACAATTGTGCAATGCCGAATCGAGAATTAAAGAACTGAAGACAGACAATTGGAAAGATAGAGTCGACAGAATGGTTGTGTCCATGAATCGCTTAGAAAACTGGTTTCATAAAACATTGTAATATGTATCAATGATAATAAAAGATTGCATGTAGATATTTTTGTCTCATTATTATTGAATATGTTGACTGAGGAGGAGAAACGACTTGTAGACGGAGTCTATTACGATTTGAAGAATGGAGGTGCATTTCTCAGCCCTGGAAAGGTGCACCAAGTATTAAAAACGAAAGGTTTCAAAAAACCTGGTTTACATAAGATTAGAAGGTATATTCAGAGTCTAGACGATTACAGTCTACAGAAACCTGTCAAGCGTTCATTCAAGAGAGCGAGAGTCGAAGTATCGGGCCCTTATGAACAATACGATGCAGATTTAGCTGACGTTTCAAACATCTCTAAATATAACGATGGTATTAGATTTTTTACTCATAGTCATTGATGTATTCAGTAGGTTCTTAAGGGTGGAACCTCTCGAAGCCAAACAGGGGAAAGAAGTACTAAAAGCATTAAAAAAAATCACAGTAAAGGGACAGCTCTGCAAGCGCCTGAGAACAGACGCGGGATCTGAATTTTATAATAGATGGATAAAAGAATGGACAAAGGATAACAATATACATCACTTCAGCTCTTCTTCTAGCACCATCAAAGCTGGATATGCCGAAAGAGTCATGAACGTTTCAAAGATGTACGTTCCAAACGTGGGGAAATGGATGAAATATTATCAAGACGTGGCACGAGGAAAAGAAAACGCTTATACAGAAAATACAAAACGAAACGCGAAACAATTTGGCGGAGGATTGACACAGAATTCGAACGAATTCATGATTCCAATCGACAAAAACGATAAAGAGGGAGGGAAATCCTTACCTTCACGAGAGGTGAACGTAAATATGGTCTCACCAGCTCAGCAAGTCGTAGAACAAGTGAAGTCTGAGATTAAAAGGAAACGAACTCCACTTCGTCGTCAGTCTGCTGGGAAACGTCGACATGTGCATACTCCACGGTAGAAGAAGCAACCAAAACGAAAAGCGAGTAAACGAAAAGCGACGAAAAGAAAAGCGAGCAAGGTGAAAAGAACAGCAACGAAAAAGAACAAAAGGACCTCCAATAAAAGTCTGATATCACAATGGCTGCGTTAAACAAAGATTTCTTCAGAGAAGCACAACCGTCAGAATTAGCCGTATTCGACCGTCCACCGACACAGACAGCCGTAGAAAATATTTACTATCAGGACGTGTTACCGATATCTCAGATAACGAATGACTCTGTCGTTTAATTCGTCGTTTCCGGACAGAACGGATTGGAATTGCTTGATTTACACAGCAGCCTTATCTATGCAAAGGTAAAAATAACGAAAGGGGATGGAAGCGCCATCGCTTTAGATAAGAACGTGGGACCCATCAATTTGTTTTTACCTTCGTTATTTTCACAAGTGGACTTTACTCTACAGGGGAAGGCTGTCGTTTCTACAACGAGCCATTATCCATTTAAGGCCTATATACAAGCTTTATTGAAAAATTCTAAGGAAGCAAAGGCGACCCAGTTGACTACCCAACTATGGGAAAAGGACGACGAGGGAGATATGGACGAACATAGCCCAAGGACCGGTTCGAACAATGCGCTCTTGATAAGAGCTCAAATGTTCGAAGGTGGGAAGGTGGTAGATATGGTCGGGCCTCTCTATCACGATTTGTTTAAGATGGATAGGTACTTATTGAATCAGGTTAACGTCAACGTGATACTCTATAGATCCAAACCAAGTTTTTGTCTCCTTTCCGGGACCGCATCTGTCGATTATAATGTATCATTAGAAGACATTCGACTGCGTGTGAGTAAAGTCAAGGTCAACCCAGCAGTCATCTATGCACAAAGCCAGGCTCTCGAGGTGACTAATGCAAAATATCCGTTTACTCAGACCATGGTCAAACAGATTCCTGTGGGGTCAACAAATTTCACCTATGATAATATCTTCCAAGGCCTGAGACCAAACCTCGTGGTAGTCTGATTTGTGAACGCCACAAGAACCACCGGTGACTATGAACAGAACCCGTGGTTTTTCCAGCCCTACGACGTCACATCAATCGGACTCTATGTGGATGGAATACCAGTCGGAGGAAACCCCTTAAAACTCAAGTATGGCAGTACTGGCGGTCAGACCATCATTCCCGTTCTAAGGAACATGTTACAATCGCCGGGGAAATGGCAAAATGATTCTGGCTCCGACATAGAGAGGGACGAAATTGCAAAAGGATACGCGTTCTATACCTTTGAGTTGGAACCTAGCTTCCAAACCAATCAATACCTTACCTTGCTTAAACAGGGAAACGTGAGGCTAGAGGTAATCTTTGGAACGGCACTAACCTCAGCAGTATCATTTATTGTGAATATCCTGGTTACTTCGAAATCAACGCTGCGAGGGACATTGTGTTATCATGAATACTTCACAGTTACGTTGCATCATAGACTGTGA